TGCGGGGCTGGTCAGACTGTGACTCACAGGTCAGGAGCAGCGTGGATGGGTGTGTGGGGCTGGTCAGACTGACTGTCACAGGTCAGGAGCAGCGTGGATGGGCGTGTGGGGCTGGTCAGACTGTGACTGTCACAGGTAGGAGCAGCGTGGACGGGTGTGCGGGGCTGGTCAGACTGTTACTGTCATAGGTCAGGAGCAGTGTGGACGGGTGTGCGGGGCTGGTCAGACTGTGACTGTCACAGGTCAGGAGCGGCGTGGATGGGTGTGCGGGGCTGGTCAGACTGTGACTGTCATAGGTCAGGAGCGGCGTGGACGGGCGTGCAGGGCTGGCCAGACTGTGACTGTTCACAGGTCAGGAGCGGCGTGGACGGTCGTGCGGGGCTGGTCAGACTGTTACTGTCATAGGTCAGGAGCAGTGTGGACGGGTGTGCGGGGCTGGTCAGACTGTGACTGTCACAGGTCAGGAGCGGCGTGGACGGTCGTGCGGGGCTGGTCAGACTGTTATCTCGCAGGAGGATGCTGTTCAGAAGCAGTGGAACCTTGGCCCGGCCTTGGCCGCTTGGGTCTCGGGAAGCTTGGAACCAAGGTGGATCCCCAGGTTGTCCCGCAGCCAGTGCAGGCTGTAGAGGAGATAACACAGGGTGTGCCTGGAACCCACTTCTGGAGATGGCACTGGGACCCTTGTCAAGCCGTGCTTCTCTGTCTCCATGTCTCCCTAATCTAGCCCGTTTCACTCTTATTCCTTCAGCTTGAGATGGGCATTTTTGCAGCCCCAAGGGCTGTAAACACCGCTAAGGCAGCCTCTGCTCTGTGCTTGGGCAGCTCCCTCTCCTATGGGGAGGCAGATACAGATTTCACAGTGCGCTGATACGTGGTGTCCGCCGTAGTGGAGACCTGGGTATGCCGAAGACGTCACAGGGTCAGGAGGGCACTCGAAGACTGGACGCCTTGCTCTGGCTGTTCAGGGACGGCAGGGGAGGGCCGCAGGCCGGCCAGGGGTGTGTGCGTGTGCACTGGGGCGGGGGTTGGGGACAGGACAGGGTTCCACACGGGTGATGCGGTGGCAGCTGGCAGCCCTGCTCAGACAAATTCAGTGGCAGCAGCAGGGTCTCAGCTGTGTTCTTAGGGTTCTGTCGATGGCACCTAGCGGGTTACGGTGGCGGGGCGCGGCGGGGGAGGGGGGTCGTCTCTGGGGACTGGGTCCACGTGGCCTCTGCCAGCTCATCGCCACAGCCTGAGCTGCAGGCACTACGGCCTGGGCCAGGCCTCTCTCTTCCTGTGTGGATGCGGGCAGCCAGGGAGTGTTTTCTCCACCCGCATCTGATTGGAATGACAAGTTTATGTGCACTCCTGGCATCTCCTCCCAGCGGCTACCCGTGGAGTCGGCACAGGCAGAGGGAGGCAGCGACTGCCAGGAACCCCAGGCCCGCTCGGTTTATGCGGCTGCAGCTGTGACTAGCACATGCATGGCGTTTTTAAATGAGAGAGGCGAGAACGTGGAGAAGTTATTTCTCGTCTAGGAAGGTAAAGATGAGATTATTTACTGCTCCCTTCTGCTCTTCCTTAGCTAACTGCTCTGTTAGTTGAAGTAAAAGAGTTGGGGAGCCATTTTGCATTTTTAAGATCTCAGCTCAACTGGGCCCAGATCTTAACTTTGCCCTGCACCAGTGGCTTTAAAATCTCTCTGCAGCCACTTTTCGCTCCTGTCCTAGGAGAAGTGCCACACTCGCAGCACTTGACTGCTCACGCATGTGATGACATTGTTAAATTGAGGCGCCCCCACAGGTCGTGTCTGGAGGGCAGGTGTTCCCTCACCTGCTCATCGCGCTGTCCGTGGTCACTGCCTGGGCCTGCACCTGCTCAGCTGTCATAGTTTTCGTGCAGGTAGGCATGTGCAGGTGAGTCTGGCGCACCTTGGCAGCACGCTGGCTTGTGCACAGGATATTGGGCTAGCCACTGCCTGTGCTCCCTCCTCTAAGTGAGCACAGCGGCGGTACCTGGTGCTGGGCTGTCGTGAGGGTGTGCATGTGCCTGGTTGCATACCCATCATATCCTGGGCTCTGTGCTGAGCCCCTGGTGGGAGACACTGAGTTCATCTGCCCCAAGCTCCCAAAGGAGGAAGCTGCAGTGCAAGCGAAGTCGCATGCCTTGCTGAGGGTTGCAGAGCTGCCTAATGACGGCAGGGATTGATTCTTGCCGGCCTGGGTCTGTGCTTAGTCCTGTGTGTTTGGGCCTCTGCTCGTCCATCAGGCAAACCTAGTGTGCCCACAGCTGGGAGCCCCTGTTCCCATCTGCTGGCTGGACAGACTGCCCCGCGTGCCAGTGCACAAGCCACTTAACCCACACCAAGCTGCTGTGAGACACTGGGCAGCGTCTGTAAGGGACAGGCCTCTGACTCTCCCTGTGTTCAGGCGATTTCGGCCCCCCTCCTCTCGCTGATGCTCCTGCGAGCCCCACCTCTGTGGGCGCTGCTCCGAGCCACACGGGCAGTCAGTCCTGCCGCGCTGTACCTGGGGAATCTCTCGGCGGGAGCCCCTGTGCGTGTGGTTTCAGCCCTGGCGTTTGCTGTCTAACACAGGTGTGGGCCTGCTGGGGCGGTTTGTTTTCACCGTGCTGCAAATACTCGGAGGCAATCGTGCTTTTCCCCCAGCGCCCTTAGGCACCCGTTAGCGGCCTGAACACATGTCCGGCTGTCTTCCGCCTTCTCTGCGAAGCAGAAGGCGCTGGGGGACCATCATTTCTGCATGGCTTCTGTGGTTTCCTGCCATGCCTGTGTGTGTAGGAGCCAGGGCAGGCGGAGGAGGGAGCCAAACCCCGTGGACGCAGGGCGACGCAGCGTGAGGCTGAGCCGGCTCGGTGTGAGCTCGGTGTTTGCGTGACTGCAGCGCACTGTGTGACGCCGTGTGTGCCCTGGAGACATAGTGACCTGGTTGCGCCAGGCTGGTGGAGCCAGCGTCTTCTCGCGTCGTTACTTCTCTTCCCGCCGGGTTATCTCAGAGAGATTGCAAATGGAAGTGCTCGTTGGGGTCTCTCATAGCTTTGTGAATCTTCCCCACTTCCTGTCGCCATATGCAGTGACCCTTTTGGGGTGCAGCTGTCTGAAAGTGAGAGTGTGGGTACCAGAGCCTGTTTCGTCATCTGAAGCTGCTGGCGGGCTGAATTTCAGAGAGTGAGTAGCGGGAACCTGCACGTGTGTCTGAAGGCGGTCCTGCTGGCTGCTGAGCGCCCGTAGTCAGTCGGGGACGCCCGGACACCAGGGCTGCTCAGCCTCTGCATTACTGGTCCCGGGTAGCCTGTGTGTGTGTGTGTGTGCATGTGTGTGTATGTGTGTAGGAGGTGCCTCGTGCATCGCAGAGGCCCTGGACTCCGCCTGCGTGGTATAGCCTCCACCCCCATACTGCCTGCACAGTTGCCACAACCAAGTGCGTGCCCAGGCTCTTCAGGCTACTTGGGAGTGGGGAACAGGAGGCAGAACTGCCCTGTGTTGAGAGCCACTGCCATACACCGCTGTGCTAAACCAAACTGGTAAATGACACGAAACCCAGGACAGGAGCGCACGGCTGCAGCCAACTGGAGATAACTAGTCAGTGGCACAGAGGTGATTTTTAAGGGAGACAGATGCTAGCGAGGGAGAGGAAGAGGTCGCCTGTAGAAGTTAGGCAGAGACTTTGGCTGCAGGAGGAGTACCCTGCATTCAGCCAGGTGCTCGTAGGGCAGGCAGCTGTGGGCCCAGAGCTGGCTGTGCACCGCCTTTCTTCCGTGTGCTGCGCCTCTCTGGGCGTCTCCGCAGGGCCTCCTTGATGGACACACAGATCTCGGCCCGCAGTGCGCTTCACAGCCCCCACAGCCCCACAGTCGGTGTCAGCCCTCCCTGCGCTGTGAGAGCTGAGGCTCTCAGCTGGGCAGGACTTGGTCCCAGGGGTGTTTTCAGGTCCGTGGCAGCTCATGCAGGGAGTGGGCCTCTGCAGTGGCCTGGGCCTGTGCTGGTCACGTGGCACCCTGGCGGGGCAGGGTGGCGTCCTAGCCATTCGTTCTCGGTCACCCTTGGGTCATGGGTGGCGGCTACACGCCTTCTTTAACGTCGCCGCTGTTCCCTTCCCCAGAGCTTTTCCGTTGGAAGGCAGCTGCCCACTGCCTGCTTGATTCCATCCCCTCCGTGCCCTGAAACTCCAGTTTAGCTGTGTGGTGCTGAGTCTTCCTTTCACTTTGAAAGTCAGTAGACTTCGAAGCTGTCGGCTTTAGTAAAACTGTGCTTCTCACTCACGGCACAGGGAACCCCTGGTTACAGGGTGCAGCCTTAGTGTGCTGCAGCCTTAGTGTACTGTGAGGCCTTTCAGGTCTTTGGATGATTGGCATTTCCTGTTACGTGGACATGGTGTCGTGCTTCTAACTAAGTACAGGTGTCGTGGGCCTGAAAAGATCGCGTTACTGAGTTCATAGCTGAGACTATTCAGTGGGCACGTTTTTTCTGAGTGGGGTTCCTCTCAGCACTTTCATACTGGTGATATTCCTCCCAGTTCAGTAATCAGCAACGTGAATCTGATAAAGCTCTCCTCACTGAACACTTGCTTTTTTTTTGTTGTTGTTGTTTTTTTTAAGGTCCTGTGTTGTTACCTGGTTTTGGTTTTACTGTGTTATCATTTGGAGATACTCAGTTATACAGAGGTTTTTGCCAGGTCTCTCCTAGAACTAAGTTCATATATCTTAGGGAGTAGCAGAGAAATTCTCCCTGAGGGTCTGCCGGAAGAGGAGCGTGTCGCCTTTGATAATGAAGTGAAACCTGGCAGTGCCGTTTCTAGAGCAGCTGTAATAATTCACAGGAGAATCGCAGTGGGAAGGCGGGCGCAGAGCGGTGTGCTTCCTCGGGCAGCGGGACTGGGCACGCCGGCGTGAGCATTCTCACTCGCCTGCCTTTTCCTGTGCGTGTTCTAGAACTGTCTGTCTGCATCTCGAGCTTTGCAACCAAAATAACGGAGATGCGATTTTTGTCTTCCCGGCAGGAGATGGAACCGACTGAGACTGCGGGACCGAGGGGAACGCGGGGAGCGCGAGGCTGACTCCGAGGAGAGCGACGCCGAGTTTGACGAAGGCTTCCGCGTGCCGGGCTTTCTGTTCAGAAAGCTTTTCAAGTGCGTGCCCCGTGCTGTGTCCTTCCTGTCGGTCGCCAGCCCGCCGGGCACCAGTCTGAATGTTAGGGATCACATGGGAGTGACCAGTGGGCCCTGTCAGGTGACGTGTTAGCCACATGCTGCTCCTTCACATTAGATGGTGATAAACTGACCAAGGTGCGTGTGGGCGGGTCTAAACTGCCGGATCGGTGTGGGCGTGGCTCAGCAACGCATCCCGTCCCAAAGCCATCTGCTCTGTTGCTTTGTTCTTAGGAATTTCTAATTTGTTAAGCCAAGTTGATAAGAAGAGCTGTATGTGAAGATCAATATTGGGTTTTTGGTTTTGCTTTTGTTTACTTCTGGGAGGAAATAAGCCATTGGGATCATTTTCCGAGGGCCTTGTGTTGCACCTAAGGGTGTAATGCTTTTGAGCTGACCCAATGTGCTTCTAATTATTTGCTGTCGATGTTGAAAGAGAGCACAGGAGCAGCACCTGGCGGGCGCCATTGCAGTGTGCAGCTGGCTTGGCCTCCGTGTGTGAGGTGGCCGGCTGCTGCCATGTGGACCACGCCGTGGTCCCAGTGCTGCACCCTGGGTGTGAGCACCCAGGAAAGTCTTCGTTCTCACCGCCCTGGGATTCACTGAGCACCATAGCTCAGGAAGACTTCCTAGATGGGTACAGCGAGTAAAGCCACCAAACAGCTCCTGTCTGTCTCTTGTGTCCTCAAGTCGTGGCTGGGGGCGGGACGTAAGCTTCCTCCTTGGGGTGGTTCAATTCCACGTCCAGTGTGGGTCCAGCTGTCGGCCATGCCCTAACCCTGGAGAAGGTGTCTGCTCCTATACAGCCTGTTTCTGTTTCTGCCCAAAGAGCCAACGACCTCGTTCTACTTGTCCTTTCTGTGGGGGGTGTAGTTATTTCAAGCCCCTGAACAGAAAGCAAAGCCGCCCCCTGAAGGTGTAGTGCGACTTGGCTGGGTTGTGTAACTAACCGGACAGAGGAGGGGCTGCGTTGAAGTTGATTCCCAGATCTCGCTGGTAATTTTTTCAGGAAAATCCTTTTATAGCCTGGAGAGGTGGCTGCTTTGTTTATTGCTTCTCCCAAATGAAAATTAACTATGGAAAGGTAAATAAAGATGACATTTATTGGCAGCTCCTTTCATTTTCGCTAAAATGATTGCTTATTAAGAACAGGCCAAATAGTGTCAGTGTTAGACTAACAGAAGGAATACCCAAATTGTAGATGAAATTGATTTAACAAAGGCTGTTTCTGCATGTGTGGTGTGTGCTTTGGCAGAGACCTCAGGAGGCAAGTTGAGGGTGCATTTTTTCGTTTAAACGTCACATTTTCTAGCAAAGGAATTTCACAGTTAATAACCCATAGGGTTCAGTGTATTGACTGCTAACCCTATAGTAGTTAAAATAAATACATGTTTTTCCTTTAGTCATTCTTAATTGCACATTCCTAGAAAGTGTTTTATTTACATTTTACAGAAAACAAGATTTTAAATATTTTACAGATCCTATAAAGCTTCTATTCCTTTTCTTCCACCGTATAAAAAATACCAGCGTTGGTAGAAGCTCCAGTTTTCTTTGATGATTAAGTTTGGGGCATGCCAATTTAATTTTAAACTGTGGATGTATTTTTACTGTGTTTGCTGCACTCTGTGGAATTGAATTAACAGGGCAGATAGTTGTACACCAGGGATTCAGAAGGTACGATTACCCATTTAAGTGCTATTTTCTGCAGGATAATGTTTAACTTTTAAATTTCGGTCTTGAAAGTGTGCCCAGCAAATGCATTTGTGTGCAGTTTAGTAGCCGGATGATGACAGGCTTCAGTCTTTGACCTTAGTTTTTCAGCCACACACGTGAATGCAGTCTTGGGGAGCGCGACCGTGCCAAGGTAGACCAGTTCTCTCTGGTCCTGTTGTGGTGCCGCAGTCTCCTGTGGATACCAGACTATGGTCATTTCCTAACTGTGATAACACTGTAGTTTATGAAACTCTTTAATAACTTTTTCTAGAGTAATTTCTGTTGGCTTTTCGAAGGTTTTGAAAATTAGATTCTGTAACCTGTTTCCTTTGAACTATGTAATTGTTTTACAGTGTTATTATTAGAAAAGTAAGGGATTAAGCAAAGTCAGTGGGAGTAGTGGAACCAGAGCCCAGGCCCTGGCCCTCCCAGCCCCGCAGGCCACCTCACCGGTGACGCAGGGTGGCCGGCGCTTCCTCTCTCTCCTGTTCTTTTTCTTCCTCGTTTTTTCTTTCCTCCCACCCTCCCTCTCTTCCTTTGTTCCTTCATTCCTTCCTTTTAATATTTATTGATTTGAAAGGCACAGTGACAGAAAGAGAAAGATTTTCCATCCTACTGGCTCCTTCCCCCAAATGGCTGTAACAGCCAGGTCTGGACTGTCTGAAATGAGGAGCCAGGAGCTCCATCCTGGTCTCCCACATGGGTGGCAGGGGCCCAGGCATTCGGGCTGCCGTCTGCTGCCTTTCCAGGCACATTAGCAGGAAGCCGGATCAAAGGTGGAATAGCCGGAACTTGAACCAGCACTTGGGTATGGGATACTGGCATTGCAGGCGGTGGCTTAACTCACAGCGCCACAAGGGCCAGCCCCTCTGGTGCTTTTGAACGTGCAACTACAGTCTGAGAGCCTTCCAGTGTTGTAGGTGGAAAGGAGCCCCCTTTGCCATCTTGTACAGTAACCCTAGTTATTGTTGGGGACCTATAGGTTGCTAGTAGATACTTTTTTATTAAGTCACTTTTTGTTGCTGCTAATCCCCTCCTTTAAACAAAATCCTGTACTGTTTGAAAGTCCTTGGAGATGGGGCCAGTGCTGTGGTTCAGTGGGTTAAGCCTCTGCCTGCAGTGCTGGCTGCTCTACTTCCAGTCCAGCTCCCTGCTAATGCACCTGGGAAAGCAGCAGAGGATGATCCAAGTGCTTAGGCCCCTGCACCCACGTGTGAGACCCAGAGGAGCCTCCTGGCTCTAGCCTGGCTGTAGCCTGGCTCAGCCCCAGCCATTGCAGCCATTTGGGGAGTGACCCAGCAGATGAAAGCTCTCTCTCTGAATCCCTGCCTTTCAAATGAATCTTTAAAAAAACAGTCCTTGGAGATGAGATTTATAGTCAAGGAGCCGCCCAGTATGCTGCCCGTGCTGGGTCACAGAATGCAGATGCCCCGGCTCCCTCCTGGACTCCTTCTGGGCACCACACTGGTCGCCACTCCTTTGCTAATATATTAGCTGATGGCTGCTGTGCACATTTCCCGCTGTGAGGGCACAGGTCCCAGACAGGGCTGTTGGGCCATGTTAGACGGAGGCTGTGTGGCATGGGGTGAGGGGCAAGGATGGGAACTAGGACATCTGGTCTCCTAGAGGGTCTTTCCTTCCGTGGAAGGAGGCCGGCTGGCTGGAATTAGTGACTGCAGACTGACTGCACGTCGGTGTCTTTGGAGAGAACTCGCAGATATGTCCGTTTTGAAAGCTGAGGTTATTCCAGTATAGCCAGTTCATGAACCAACTTTGGTTCTAGATGCGGGTTTCTCAGCCTTGGCACCCTTGACGTTTGGGGCTGAACATTGTTGAGGGATTGTCCTCTGCTTGAGAGGATGTTGGACAGCACCTCTGGCCTCTGGCAAGCAGATCTCGATCGCACTTTTCCCAGTGGTCACCAAAAAATACCTCTGGACCTGGCCACATGTCTCCGAGGAGCAGAATCATCCCTGGCTGCGAACGGGTCTAGGTCATTTCCAGAATGGAGTGCTGTGGAATCGTGCAGTGCCGGATTGCAGTTCCTGCCTGCTTGTCTCGCTTGCCCGTTCCGAGCCTTCACTTCCTAATTATAAAGTGTGCCGACGGTCTCGTCCTTGCGGGCCGGCTGTGGGGCTGTGTGCAGACCGCCCCGGCCGTGGGCTCCCACCTGGCAGCCATTGCTCTCTGCTTATGTGCCACGTATTTGTGGCACGTATTGTCCTCCTTCCAAACTGACGACCTAACACTCCCGCCAGACCTTGCTGTGCGAGGGCTGTTAATCCTCCTCTGAGAGGCATGGAAATGATGATCACTGATCTTAGTGGCCAAGTTCTGAGAAGTTTCCTGTGTGTGGACGTGATGATGACGGCAATAGTTAGAGTCAAACTTCTTTTCAAAAAAAAACTTACTGCTTTATTTATTTGAAAGATAGAACGAGAGAGAGAGAGAGAGAGAGAGAGAGAGAGAGAGAGACCATGCATGCTTCTGTCTGCTGGTTTACTCCCCAAATGCCCACAACAGCCCCAGCTGGGTGAGGTTGAAGCTGGGAACCTAGAACTCCATCCAGGTGTCCCCCGTGGGGACAGGGACCAAGTACCTGAGCCATCACCTGTCGCCTCCTGTGGAGTGCATTAGCAGGAAGCTGGAGTGGAAGTGGAGTTCCTGGGGCTCAACCCAGGCGCTTTGATGTGTGATGCCGGCGTCCAGGTGCTGGTTCTAGGTTCTAACTGCTGGCCACAGCACCTGCCCCCTGAAGTTAAACTTCGGTAATTTTTTTACAGCATACTGGTAGCCAAGTTGATTATGACCTCCTTACTGAGAGGAGATGAAGTGAAACCAGCTCTATAGGGACTGAAGTCCTAAATGATCGTTTAGGTAGACACATATCAGGTACTAAACAGTAAATATTTTTGGGCGGTAAAGCTACAAAATCATCTTCTTTTGAGGTGGGTCGCTCATTAGTCTTAGTGTTTTCTTGGGACAAAGAAAATCTTTTAGGTGTTATCATTTTTTAACTTAAGTGGTTTTTTGCTCTTAATTTTTAAACTTGACATTCAGTCTTCATACCATTCCATGATGTTCAATCTTTGTTCTGCTTCAAAAATGTTTTTCCTGTTTTATTTTTTAGCCTCTTTTTTTTTTTTTTTCCTTAATGTCATTAATGGAAAAAGGAAAATAACCAACTCCTATTTTGGGGAGGATATTTTATTTCTCTTTGACCTGTAATCCTTACTTAAAATTTTAATAGCTCTGATCTTTTTTTGTACCTATGATAAAATGCCTGAATCAATTTCTGCTTTAAAATATTAAAACGTCCTTTTGTGTTATTGAAGCTTTAAACTGTTTGTTTGTGTGTCTGCAATATGACAGAATCATATGTTACGTACCAGTTTTGCAAGTAGTCCCATTTTTCAGACTCGTCTATAGCCTTAAAGTTTAATCTAATTTTTCTTGTAAAAAGAGAATGAGATTGCAGAGTGACTTTTCAATTGTCTAAGCTGTAACTTGTGGTGTTCTCTGCCCTGCCGTTTTGATGCTGCCCAGATTGAAAAAACATAAATAACTGTTAGTGCCTTTTTTTTTTTTTTGGTGCAACTTTATATACTGAATATATTTGAGATTTTTTTTTTCCCAGAAAGAGAATGAATAAAAGAGAGTAAGTTGATGCTTGTTTACCAAGCTTTTTCTAATGTTGGAAAAGAAATGAAGTAATCCCTGATTACCCCATCTATCAGTTTAATTAGAAATGTGTTAACATTCTGTAAAGACAAAATTGTGATTTTATGCCTAGGTGATCAAAAATGTATGACCTTGTAAATACACTGCTCGTGTAGAACACGCATCCGGCGTGTTCTCTGACTGGTACTAGCACCTAGCCAAATGACTAATTCATGAGTACTTTCTGTTATGATCTGTATTATCTACCATTTGCCGTTTTCTCTTTTCTTGTGGGTGTTTGTTGTTGTAGGTACCAGCAGACAGGTGTTCGGTGGCTGTGGGAATTGCACTGCCAGCAGGCAGGAGGAATTCTGGGAGACGAGATGGGATTGGGCAAGACCATCCAGATAATTGCCTTCTTGGCAAGTCTGAGCTACAGCAAGATCAGGACTCGCGGTTCAAATTACAGGCAAGTGCTCCTCTGCAGACTGTCAGTCTGTGGAGCCCGATGAATATTTCATCAGATGGATTGCTGTGGAGGAGGGTCTTGTGAATTATTGATGACATTTCAATTACAATATTCCTTTAATTCTTTTAGTGGGGGACATCAAAGGAAAAATTTTACGAGACAATGGAGCTGTAGGGCAGGAGAAATTAAACATGTAACACTTCTAATGAATTCCAGGCACCGATGCTCCGTTTCGCAGATGAGCCCCACCAGATATTTTGGGTCAATACGATGTCTAAGGTTAGCGTCTGCAGACGGATTGTTTACAAACTCAATTATGTTAATATCGATAGTTTACACAGTATGGAATTTTCAATTAGGCATAATACCTTTGGTTCCATTTATTAAATTTTACATTAAAATATTTGTTTTGGCAGGAGACCAGGTGAGCATTAGAGGGAGTAGCAAGTGTGTTGGTGGGGAAAGTTGGAGCTGGGAGGAAGCCGTCCTGCTGGATTTCCTTTCTGTCAGGGTGCGTGGTTGTGTTTGTGGACGGCGCGCTCTCGTCGCGTTTGCTCGCTGTGCCTCCTGCCCCCTTTCGATCTGTACGAGTCGGATCCGAATCCCAAGTCCAAGGCCTAAATAACTAAAAATGATAGACAGCTGTGTTTGGATGTTGCTCTCTAGTGTCTTTAGAAATTTGCATACACTATTAAAGCTTTAGTGTTCCAAAAGAATAAGCATGTAATCTGCTCAGGTTGGTAGCACTGTAATACTTTATCTGTATTTACCCTGTAAATTAGCCTTGTGGAAATCACTGTTGAGAACAAAACACTGCTAAGGAAGTTCTGTGGGATATTTACTCTCGGACCCAAGATCATCCAAGAGCTGCTTGTGTTTCAGTAGCGCCCGTCGGACGAGTACCAGCAGGATAGGTCCTGGAAGCCTCAGGCACTCTGTTCGACCAACCGGGGCAACCTCAAGACAGTGTTGACGTGGGTGAAGCCAGGGACTGCAGGAAGTTACTGTCCCGCCCTCCCTCTGTGGGTCGGGAAGCGCCAGGTAGTCTGCTGCACCTCTAAGCTCCCTAGGAAGGAGGTGCCCATGGTCTTCACTTCAGGGCTTCGCCTGAGCGTGGAAGGTGGATGCCGCTCGTGCTGGTGTTCGCACATACAAGCGGCAGGGAGGTTTTCCAGTGGTGAATGCTGTGTTGCTGCTGCTGTCCCAGAGAGATCGTACTAGAGCAGAGACTCACGCCTTGCCTGGAGAAAGGAAGACACTGCAGCCCATCGGGAAGGTCGGAATGAGAGTTTCCCCATCTATGTCTGACACTTGTTTAGCATTTGAAAAAAATTATTTCTGTCTAAATAAGCTCTTTGTTGATCTCTGGGACACTCTGTTGTTGTTTTTGTTTGTTTGTTTTTCAATAACTAAAATGCCCCAAGCTGCCCCAAATGGTTTCTGGGACTGGGATTTTCTTACTCCCTCCTCACTGTTGTGAAACTTGTGTGGACTGTGCCCTGGCCCGGGAAGCCGGATGTCACCCTGCAGTGTCGTTTTCATCTGAAGATCAAACCCGCATGCCTGAGTGGTGACGTCTCACTCAGAGTCAAGTGGGGAGGGGGTGCTCCTAACCAGCATCAGCTGTAATCCGTTAACTACCAATGCTCACATCCTCTTCTCCGTGATGAAACACTGTGGCACACTGGATGAGAGCCCGGTGGTCTTCACCGCAGTGGCCTTGGCGGAGGTGGCTTCCCAGAACGTGGAAATGGATCAGCCAGGCCCCTGGGCCCCACAGGGCTCGAGGTGCAGGAGGAGCTGGGCCCCTCCGCTTCCCTGTGTCGGGCAAGGTGGCAACGCTTCCCTGTGAATTTTATAATGTATCCACTTGAAATTAGTGAACCTGGAGTTTTCCTCCATGCCGTGTCCTAAGATAGTGTCGGAGGTCAGATGCAATTGTGCCTGAGCCAGTGTTGCTTTTCTGACCTTGCCTGAACTCGTGCAAGCTGGGGGTTTGAAACTGGAATGTGTGATGGACTTGGTGCTGGACTCCTGTTGGAATTTTAAGGTTCACAAGCCTGAAACAGTGTAAGTCTCTGAGACAGCATAAAACTGCTACAAAAGTTTTTTTTATTATTTATTTATTTATTTATTTTTTAGGTTTTGTTTTGTTACTTTATTTGAGAAAGAGATAGAGGGCTCTCCCATCCACTGGTTCACTCCCCAAATCCCTGCACAGCCAGACCTTGGCCAGGCTGGAGCTGGGAGCCGGGAACTGATCTGGGTCTCCCATGTGTGTGAGCCCTCACCTGCTGCCTCTCGGGTGTGCATTATTGGGAAGCTGGAACGGGGACCCGAGCCCAGGCACTGCCAGGTGGGCTGCAGGGTGTTAGCTGCTGGCTCACATGCCCACCCTCCCTACCCCTGTCGTGTGTTTTATGCTTGCTTGTTTTCAGAAGGAGAAGTGTAATCCACATGGTTACTACAAGTCTGTCTGGCAGTCGTGTTCCTGTTTCACACAGATGCAGGACTTTGCCTTCACTCAGCTGTTCGTATTTCAGTGTTAAGCCCCCTGAATTTTACGGTGGAGAAGTTATGTGCATCCAATTCCAGACTTCACTTAATACTTCAGAGTCTTGGATGCCTCTTAGTTAATTTCTAATTAGGAGCAGATATCCTGGAGAAAAAGCGGCTGTGTTAGGCAGGGTAGCTGTTGTGCCCTGTGATTCTTGGTGAGTTGTAGGCTCAGACTGGCGGATTTCCGTCCTGTAGTGGGACTGTTTGACCGTGGAGCTCCTGGCCTGTCCTTAGGTGATCAGTGGCCGTCAAAGGTGACAGGAGCTGCAGTCTGCTTCGTGGTGGACCCTGTCCCCCAGTCCACTCAGTGCACCTTACACTCATCTTGCCAGTGCTGGGTCCATTTGATGTCACTGTTAATGAACCTGACAGCCCCCTCTGGGGCCCAGAAACAAGCAGGCCTGCTCCCAGACTCCAGCTCAGTGTGGGAAGTCCCGAGCCGTCTAATAGAAGAAGAGTGGCAGAAACTAAAAGGCATAAGAGTGCCACAGAGATGCTTGGCCAGAAGAAAATACTAACCTTAGGTGACAGCGTGAGTCATCGGTGCAGCAGTTTGCCCAGAGCACATGATACAAGAAAACAAAAGTTCTGGGTAACATGAAGACAATCAGTGGTGTAATCATGTGTCTTTGAATGGGCGTTTGCTTTTAAATATTTTAGAAAGCATCTGATTGGTTGTTGCCTAGTCCCTGCTAAGTGTGTGTGGATGGTAGCTGTGGAGGATGTAACTGAGCTAGGCGTTTAGTCCTTTTAGAGGGGAATGCTGTTGTGGAAGCACAGGAGGCCCGTGCTGGCCCTGCCCTGGATGAGAAGCAGGGCTCAGTGCGTAGCAGTTGTCCAGGCGTGTGTGGTCCTTGGTCTGAGCCTCTGTACCCAGCTGAGGGGCGGGGGCTGTGACTGCAGCTGGAGGCGGGAGGGGCTGCAGGTGCACAGAGGCACTTTGTCCCATGGGGGTGTCGCAGGCCCTCACGTGAGCTAGAGCCTGGTCACAGCCTCGTTGCTCTTTTAGAACTACAAAGTATTTTTCAGCTGTGTTGAATATGATCTCTCACATTTCAAGCCCTGTATGATTTATTGAGTTACTTGCAAAGTTGGTTATTTTTTTTTTTACAAATTTGGGAATCATTTATTGAGCTGTAGCAGAAAAATAAGAATCATTTATGATCCCCTAACTCAGCAATAATCTCCTTTGGCATTTTGACATATTGTCCTCCACGTTTGAAAAATGTGCTGTGGGCCAGGCGCTGAGATGGTTGGAAGAAGAGGTGACCCCTGCTCTCAGGGATCCTAGGGGGGAATCCCACAAGGCTGGAGCAGGGGCCACACGGTGTCACAGGGTTAATGTGAGCTCCTGACGAGCGTGGGTCCTGGAGAGGAAGCCGAGGTGTGAAGCAGCAGGAGCTGAGTGGGTGGAGGGGAAGGGAGGCCCAGGCATTTGGATTGTCCACCAAGACACCACGTAGACGCCCTCATCCCCAGTTGGAGCACCTGGGATTGAGCCCCCGCCTCTGCTTCTGATTCTGGCTTCCTGCGGATGTGCACCCTGGAAGGCAGCAGGGGATGGCCCTAGTACTTGGGTCCCTGCCGCCCCTGTGGGAGGCCCAGCTGGAGTTCTGGGCTCATGTCTTTGGCCTGGCCTGGCCCCAGATGTTGCAGGCGTCTGGGGAGTAAGGCAGTGATTGGAAGATTTCCCTCTGTGCCTCTGCCTCTCGAACAGACAAGTTGGGGAAGGAGGTCAGGGTGGAGGAGTACGCTCCTTGTAGGGACTGAAGTTCAGGCCTTGGGGCAGGTGTTGGGGTGGAGGCGGTGAGAGAGGCAAGCTGCAGAGGGGAGCAGAGGTGCAGTCCTGCGGTCGCATAGGCCAAGTCAGGGGTTCAGACTGCCCAGGAGCAGGGCGCAGCCCTAGAAGGCTTTGAAACCGGTGGATGAGGTGTCCAGGCTGTGCCTTCGAGAAGGCGCTGGAAGGTACAGCAGGTGAGCAGTGACCACAGCTGGAACTGGAGCACAGTAGGCTGTGAACGTGGGGACTGACAGGGATTTAGGAGGGAGATGATGAGAGCTGGGTGTGGGTTCCTCACAGCGGGGAGCAGGAGGGGCTGATCAGGGGAGAGCCTGGATTGCCGATTGGGGCCCCTGGGGATCAGGTAGCAGTGGTGCCGTGGGGCCACTGCGTCAGCAGGTGACACCCAGCATGCACTAGTTTGGAGTTGCGGGGAGAGGTCTGGCTGCAGACATAGATGAGGCCTGGACAGTGGGCAGAGAGAATGGAAACTGGGAGCACTATAGTGTGATCGCTGGGTGGGTCTCGCGTGTGCATCTGCCTCGCACGGTCAGCCTCTTTGTTGGGCAGGAAGCAGGGAGCAGGGAAGAAGGACAGTCGGCACGTGCCAGGAACTGCTCTACCACGCTCAGTGTCGGGTCCCGGGTCCCACTTGCCCCTCGTGACAGGAGCTGCGTGTACGTCTGGTGGGAGGCTGCACACACAGTCTGGTGGGAGGCTGCAGCTCAGTGCAGCCTGCTAAGGCCAGCGTGTGACTGCTGCCCCGGCTCTTGCTCCAGGCTGCTCAGCCCCTTTCACTATGGCACTGTCCATGTGCATCCATAGGTGCGGCCTCACCTGGGCAGGTGTCCCCGATGCACCTGCACCGTGCTGTCATCGCACCGGGGGAGCAGGCTGCAGAAGACTGACTTCCACGCTTTGCTCTGTCTCCTGGTAGCCGTGTGCTGGCACGCCAGCCTTCTGAGCCCCTGAGCACAAATGTGTGTTATGGAAAAACTGTGCCGATTAAAAAATTCTGACACTGAAACCAGCTTACCTTTTTATTTTTTAAACAGGTTTTTGTTTTTTCGAGAGAAAAAGAGAAAGAGCTTGTATCTGTTGGTTTACTCAGAGACCGAGAGAGAGGAACTGTCATCCATTGGTTCACTGCCCAAATGCCCACAGTGGCTGGGGCAGGGCTGGGTCGTAGCTGGGAACTGGGAACGAAAGCCAGGTGGCCCACAGGGGTGGCAGGAAGCCATCTCTGCTGCCTCCCAGGGTCTGCATCAGCAGCAAGCTGGGGCGAGAGGCAGAACCAGGTTCCAAACCCAGGTACTCTAGTGTGGGACATGAGCACCTCAGCCAAGCACCCACTCCCGAACTTATCTTTTAATTCTGTTTTTCCATAAATGTCTGAAGTACCTTGGCATTTCTGTCCTGCTTCCTTCCTAAGACTGTGAGGATGGAAAACCCTGCGGGTTGAAAACTTGACAAACTATAAAGCTGCCAACAAATTTGAGAGAAATTGTGCTCCCTTAGGTTAAGATGGTAGCTTCACTGACCCCTAGTAAAAGGTACAGAAAAGTATTTTAGAGTTCCTTGATTCTCTTATACTTAACTATAGGTGTTCTTTTAAAAAAAAAAAAAAAGATTTATGTATTTATTTGAAAGTCAGAGTTATATAGAGAGAGAAGGAGAGGCATGGGGCCTGCGCTGTGGCGTAGCAGGTAAAGCTGCTGCCTGCAGTGCCGGCATCCCATATGGGTGCTGGTTCGAGTCCTGGCTGCTCCACTTGCAACCCAGCTCTCTGCTATGGCCTGGGAAAGCAGTAGAAGATGGCCCAACTCCTTGGGCCTCTGCACCTGTGTGGGAGACCTGGAAGAAGCTCTTGGATCCTGGCTCCTAGCTTTGGATCAGCCCAGTACCAGCCATTGTGGACAACTGGGGAGTGAACCAGCAGATGTAAGACCTCTCTCTCTCTGCCTCTTCTCTGTGTAACTCTGACTTTCAAATAAATAAATAAATCCTAAAAAAAAAAAAAAAAGAGAGAGAGAGAAGAAGAGACAGAAAGAGGTCCTCCATCCGCTGGCTCACTCCCCAATTGGCCACAACAGCCTGCACTGTGCTGATCTGAAGCCAGGAGTCAGGAGCCTCCTCCGGGTCTTCCCACATGGGTGCAGGGGCCCAAGGACTTGGGCCATCTTCTACTGCTTTCCCAGGCCATAGCAGAGAGCTGGATTGGAAGTGGAGCAGCAGGGACTTGAACTGGTGCCCATATGGGATGCCGGCACTGCAGGCGGTGGCTTTACCCACTATGCCACAGCACCGGCCCCAGGTGTTAACCTTCTAATGTATTTGATATTTTCTCTTAGTATGTGCATCCACTGATTTATGAATGGGATCATAGATTCTACTTGATGAGGTTTTAACCTCAAAAGCTTTTTCTTTGAATAAAAATATCAATAAACTCCCCTAGCTAGCATTTCCGTTTTTGAAGCTGAGGGTTTTGCTGTTTGTTTACTTTGGCCATGGATCACTCTGTGTGCTGACTTCTGTGGTTGTGTTTTCTTCCTGGACGTCGTGTGCAGGTTTGAGGGGCTGGGTCCGGCTCTGATTGTGTGTCCGACAACCGTGATGCATCAGTGGGTGAAGGAGTTCCACACGTGGTGGCCTCCGTTCAGAGTGGCGATTCTGCACGAAACTGGGTCCTACACCCACAAAAAGGTAAGGCTGTAACACCTCACTACCCTTGGTTTGTGTGTGTTGAAGCCCTCCATTTTATGTATTTGATTTTTATTCCTTGATCCCTGGATGTCAGATGTATATTCCTGTGTTTCTTTCACACATTTAAAACTACTTTACTATTACTGACTTAATATCGAGCTCTGTATTTTCAGTAACAGTGAGGAGTGCAGGTGTGACTGTTGTAACAGCCTGTGGTGTGCTGTGGCTGTTTGTGGTCCAGTGGACACTGTTGGGGACAGGTGGCACCACAGACTCAAGAGTGTAGAGCGAGATGCTCGGGGGACAGGAAGTGGGAGGGACAGTAGGCACTGGTGGCCTTAGGCAGTTCAGGAAGTGGATACAGAGTCATCTGTATGCTGAGCACCCCACATCCGAAAAGTTGAAACCTGAAGTGCTCTGAAATCCATCGCTTTGTGAACAGTGACCTGATGCAAGTGTAAACCCCACGTCTGACCTCGTGTGATGGGGTGCAGTCCAAACGCAGGCCGCATGTATCTGTACAGTCAGCTTCAGATCGCGAGTGGGTGAGTCCCATCCCCACGATGGTCTCCTGTTGTGTATGCAGATACTCCAGAGATGTCCAAGATAGCCAAAGTCCAAATCACCTCTGCTCCCATGCATCTGGGGTAAGAGATTCTCAACCTGCAGCACTCCTTGTTGGCAGATCCGGCTGGTAATATGCCCTTAACACACGGTTGTGATGAATGGAGACGTACCCTGCGTTCTGAGGGTTGTACGAGTGTGGCTGCCTTTTAGTTAAGTTGGTTTTTGTTCCCTGAATCCTTGATCACCCTGTATGAAAGCTATAGTTTTGTTGACAACCACATTACCAAAAAGGAGGCTTCTCCCCAGGCTATGGGTAGCATGGGTGCGTGGTACTGCGCTTCCAAGAATTTCTTTCTTTTTTTTTAATAGGAAACTTTTATTTAATAAATATAAATTTCAAAAGCACAACTTTTGGATTATAGTGGTTTTTCCCCCCATAACCATCCTCCCACCCGCAAACCATCTCATCTCCTACTCCCTCTCTCATCCCATTCTTCATTAAGATTCATTTTTAATTATCTTTAGATACAGAAGATCAGCTCTATTCTGAGTAGAGATTTCAACAGCTTGCACCCACACAGACACACGCAGTATAAAGCACTGTTGGAGGACTAGTTTTACCGGTGACTCTCACAGTACAGCGCGTTAAGGACCCGTGTCGTACCCAGCACAGCGCGTTAAGGACCCGTGTCGTACCCAGCACAGCGCGTTAAGGACCCGTGTCGTACCCAGCACAACGCGTTAAGGACCCGTGTCGTACCCAGCACAGCGCGTTAAGGACCGTGTCGTACCCAGCACAGCGCGTTAAGGACCCGTGTCGCACCCAGTACAGCGCGTTAAGGACCCGTGTCGTACCCAGCACAGCGCGTTAAGGACCCGTGTCGTACCCAGGAGCCCACAGGCACTTGCTGAGTAAATGGAGCTCCCGCAGCTTCTCTGTAGGCTTGCAGGCGCCTGGCCGACAGGAAGAGCTGGTCCGCCACGAGCGCTTTGGGTTCTTTCCGAGTCTCCTGAGCTCCGAGTGAGCCGTCCTGCACCCCAGGAAGCGCTGCCCCTGTGGGAGCCGTGGGAGGCTCACCTCCTGGGCTAGCACTCGGGACCCCGACCCCATTGTCTCCGCAGTTTTGCACGTACCCCTTTTCTTTCCTCCGAGTTCCTGCGTGCCCATGATCACGATGAACAGAACCTTGCTTAGAAGTGCATCAGGAATGTCTCATGATTCGGGAGCTCGGGTGCAGTGAGGTGGAGTCCCGCCTACACTAGCGGTTATTGTTAAAACCAACTGACTTCAGCCCAGAAGTAACTGGTGCAGACTAGTTAAGCTCATCAATGAAGGAGCACGAGTGTTGGTTGTGCTTGGCAGCGTGAGAGCAACAGCAGTCTTGGTTATGTTTCTGGCCAGACTGCCTTGCACACCTGCCCTGGTTGTAGCGCGTTACTGATGGCTCTGTTCATTCCCGTTGTCTGATGACTCCCTATCCCTTAATGCTTTAAGTTGCAAAATCCTCTTGTAGATGAGTAGGCGTTTGTCTTCTGCTGGCACAGTTTTCATGTTTCTCTGCCTTTGTTCGGAGGTGGGGGGCAGTTAGTGAAGGGCACGTATCTCACACTTTGACCTGGATGCCTGCTTTCCTGTTCTGACGACCTTCACGTAACCCAGATATGTTGACTCATTGCCGGAAATACAATTGACGGTGTCCTTATTGGTGAAACTTGATTTCTGAGCTGCTTTGGAGGGCACGACCTTAAAGAACAGATAGACAGTTCTGGTTACAGTGGGTCCACCTTCTGGGGCTAAGGGGCATCCAGTCACAGACACTGTGGGTGTATGTGGTTGGTTATAATTGTTTTCAGTGCTTTTATTTTACCAAGGACTTGAGCTTGAAGCTTCTCACTTAACTTGAGAAACAGCAATATTGGAATTTTTCTTGGGATCTTACTCGGTATCTTGCCCGTCTTCCTTTTCCATTATAAAGTTGTTTTGCAAAAGAGTGGAAAGAGGAACATTTAAACAGGTTGGATTTGTTCGAAAGGCCAGGAAAGAGAGCGCCTCCATCCAGTAGAAACATACTTCTGTGTCTTGCAGCCCATGTTCTTGACTTAGAACAATTAGTTGATTATTAATGTTAATATCAGTTAATATTTGTAGTGATGACACGTTGAGGACATGTTGGTTCTCTGAGCAGTCCTTGTTAGTGACGTTGCGATTCCGGCACCTGAGTGGCGTTTGCTTCTGCCTTCTCCGTGTGTGTGTGTGTGTGTGTGTGTGTGTGTCGCTGTTGGTTCCACCCCCACCCCCTGCACACCTGCTGGCTTACAGGTGTGTGTGGGATTGTAATGGAGTCTACATTTCCCACTCTTTGATGCCATCTTGTCCTTCCCTTCCTGAGCGGCTAAGGTTTCTGCTTTCCATTGTGCCTTTGGCTGTCCTGTCCAGATGCAGCGGGGCATCTGGCATGGGAACATTGAGTACTGGGCAGAATGCAGAAGAGAACATACTTTCTCTCTGGAAATTGTTAGAAGAGTAGTAAGAGGCCGGCGCTGCGGCTCACTAGGCTAATCCTCCGCCTGTGGTGCTGGTACCCTGGGTGTCCTAGTCCCGGTTGGGGCGCCAGATTCTGTCCTGGTTGCTCCTCTTCCAGGCCAGCTCTCTGCTGTGGCCAGGGAGTGCAGTGGAGGATGGCCCAAGTGCTTGGGCCCTGCACCCCATGGGAGACCAGGAGGAAGCAGCTAGATCCTGGCTGCGGATTGGTGCAGCGCCGGCCGTAGTGGCCATTTGGGGGTGAACCAACGGAAGGAAGACCTTTCTCTCTGTCTCTCTCTCACTGTCTAACTCTGCCTGGTTAGAAAAAAAAAAAGTAGTAAGAGAATGGCTTTGCTCATTCAGGTAAATTATTTTCCTAATGCTATGTTGTAGCTCGTATAGCAAAATAGTGAGAAACTTTTTCATTTGGAGAGCAGATCTCAGATGGCCAGACAGTTGCTGGATTGAGTACGTCTCGTGCTTCTTCCCCAAGTCGCTTCCCTCTCTCGCCGTCTAGCCTCTGTTGCCTTCATCCACTGATTGTCAGCGTGCTTAGAATTCTCTGGTGCACACCCAGCAGTGCGCGGAGAAGTAAGCATATGATAGTCTCAGCCGATCCAGTTTGATAGATTTTCAGGCTTCTGAATGTCTTTGTTGGTCAGTTGAAGTCGTATTTATTAGGAACCCAAAGATAGCTGTGTAAGGAGAAATCGCTTCTCTTCAGCAACAGTTGTCACCGTATTTCCCTCCTTTTTTGGTTTTCCAGCTATGTGGGATCTGGTAATTCTGTGGGATGTTTGGAGAAATAGGGGTTTTGCCTCCTTTTGATCAGTTTGTGCCCCTTGGAGACATTCAGCTGGGAAGAGCTGTGAGAGCACAGGTTTTGAATGACTGGTCAGGCTGGGAGTCCTGGGTAAGCTATGTTCACAGCTGTGTGACCTGGGCGAGTCACTTAGCTTCTCTGAGCCCAGTTGGATCACCTGACAAATAGGTATTTCTGGGTAATTTTGTGAGAACTGATTGAGTTTAATAAGCGTGCACATACAGCTTTTTGTAGTCCCTGGTATGTAACACTTTGTCAAGTATTCTTACTGTCATTAGGAACAAAATAGTAGGGGCTGGCACTGTGGCACAGTGGGTAAAGCTGCTGCCTGCGACGCCTGCATCCCATACGGATGCTGGGTTTTGTCCTGGCTGCTCCACTTCCGATCTAGCTCTCTGCGAATGGCTTGGGAAAGCAGCGGAAGATGGCCCAAGTGCTCGGGGTCCCTGTGCTCACGTGAGAGACTAGGATGAAGCCCCTAGCTTCTGGCTTCAGCCTGGCTGTTGCGGCCATCTTGGGAATGAACCAACAGATGTCTCTCTTTCTCCCACCCACCCCCAACCTGTAACTCTGACTTTCAAATAAATAGATCTTTTAAAAAAAGGAAATTGTAGGGCTCTTCAAGACAAGACACTGAAAGATGCAGGTAGAAGCCTGCTCATGGTCTGGTCTGGGGCTTCTTTTCCCTTGTACCCATGGAGACAGTGACAGAGTGTCCACACTTGGGGCGGGGTGGCGCAGGGCGTGGTTAGATGAGGAACTCGCCTAGTGTTCTTTTAAAAGGCCTGCTTTCTGAAACACAACAGTGAGAAGACTTTGCTCTTCAGAAGGCTGGAAAGGTGTCGGGCGCAAACACAACAAAGGCAAATGGAGAGGGCCCACGTGGCCCCTCACACGTCCTGCATCGTTCAGACCCGTTCCCCGGACAGGGGTCACAGCACAGTGCAGTGCCGCGCCCGTGCGGCACACCTGATACAAGACACTGTAGATGGCTGGGCGCGTGCCGCCGGCTGTGTTGGAAGATTCTTCATCGTCAGCACAAATCCTTGTTTATTAAAGATTTAGCTTGAAGGAAATTTTAATTAATTGCAGGTGCAGCGGCTCCTGCCCGTGTTCCCGTGAATGGCCTTCATGTGCCGGCGCTGCGCGCGGCGCTCCCCCAGCTGACAGTGTGATTTATGACGGTTGTTTTCCACCCGTCCACTGTTTGCCCTGTAGGAGAGCTCGGTCTCCCGAGCCTCCGTAATCACGCAGCACTCGCACAGCCGCCGCTTAATGACAACAGCGCTGCGTTCAGTAAGGCAGGCTAATTGCAGATGCACCCTATTAATTGCAAAAACTAGGAGAGGTTACATATTTTACAAGCTTTTAATTTGAAACCGCCCGAGATGATTTGTCTTAAGTGTTTGGATAGAGACGTCCATAATATTCAACAATTCACCATTATTGAAACTCTGGTCTGGGCAGTTACAGAATTCTGAGACTGAATCAGCCAAACACAGATGGCCTTCGATGTGTTCTTACCAGAGCTGAGTGGGAAGTCTGTTTCCAGTGGGGCATTGTAAACAGTGTCCTGTGGGCTGCTTTCCCAGCATCTTCTTAATTCTTCTTCTTCTTCTTTTTTTTTTTTTTTTTAAGATTTACTTACTTATTTGAAAGAGTTACACAGGGAGAGGTAGGGGGAGAGAGAGAGAGAGAGAGACAGAGCGATATCTTCCATTTACTTGTTCACTCCCCAAGTGGCCACAATGGCCAGGGCTAATCCAAGCCAAAGCCAGGAGCCAGGAACTTCCTCCGGGTCTCTCATGTGGTGGCAGGTCCCCAGGCACTTGGGCCATCTTCCACTGCTTTTTCCCAGGCCATCAGCAGGGAGCTGGATTGGAAATGGAGCAGCTAGGATTCGAACCAGCACCCATATGGGAAATAGGCATCATAGGTGGTGGCTTAGGCCACTAGGCCAGAACACCGGCCCCCTAATTCTTATTTATTCTGATTACTTGTTATACAGCCTTCTGCACAAAAGAGAAATTCCACATTCCCATAGCTAACATCACAGCATTTTCCAAATAAATTTCAGTCCTAAAGCAAAAGCAGCTGGTCATTGTTGGAGAGCTGTACACTGAAGAAGTGTGACATCTCACTTGGGTGCTGGTTCCTCCACTCACACCAGGTATTCACCTCTGAGTGCATCCCCCGGAGCAAAAGGGGGTGGCTGCGATGAGCTTGTGCATCCCACAGTTAGGAGGTCTGGAGTCCCCGAGCAGTGGGCCCTCCTTTGCTGGCTTTGGCTATAAATGCAAGTCCTAATTTAGCTTCTGCACTACCCGAGGCCCCCAGCAGTGGGCACTGTTTCCCTCTCCCCACCTGTGTGCATGTAGCTCCTGGCTGGAGTGGGCTGAGATGTGTTTCTGGGTCTCCGTTTGCTGTCCCTCATGTCTCACCTGCTGTCTTGGCTTCTAGCAGCCACTGCTCTCCTGGAGGCGAGCATGGGAATAGAGTGGGGGAGCTGCTGCCCAGGGTGCGGCTGCAGTTGGCTGTGGGATGGGGGAGGAGAGGTGTTGGAGGTGGAGCTGTGCTCTTCTCCTCCGGGCACCAGCCACTGAGCAGGGGTGGAAGCGAGGCCTGAAAGCCCGTGTCCCATGGCTGTACGGCTGCCTTGGTCATGAGGTCTGGAGTTGTGTGGTTAAATCAAGGGTGGCCTTCAGTGTGGCGGTACTGTGCAGGCAAAGTAATCGTAGCATGCTCTCACCTGTTGACCCTCTCGTAGGTCCCAGGTGCTGCGTCTGTGGCACGTTTTGATTGGACACACATTGAGGGTAGAGTGGAGTGTGACCCACGAGAAGACAGTGCACTCTATTTTGTTCCTTTGAAATTGTCCTAGCCTTTATTGCACTCTTCTGTAGACTCTGTTGAATTAAAAATATTTTAGTCCTAGCCCTATATGATATAAGATGACCAGTTTTGACGATGTCGAATTTGACAGGCGTCCTAACATCTGGCTATTGTGCGCTTGTGAAAAACCTTATTAGATGACTAAGTAGCTAGATCTCTCTGAAGTAATGCATCCCTCGTGTCGGGGTATGGGTGCACAGGTGTTAGTGTGCAGTGCTGTCAGTTTTGCACAGGTTTTGTTACAAGCCCTATCACAGTGATTTGGACACATGTTTTCTCTGTACTCCGGGACAGTCTGAAGAACAGGATTTGTCCTGCTCTGTCAGGAAGCTCTTGTGTGTGTTGCTCTTGAGTGTGTTGACCCCTTTAAAAAAAAAGATATATCTGTCTTTTCTCCCTGCTTCTTGTTGTCTGGTGTCTGCATTGCTAATCTTGGCCTTTTTTTGGTTGCATTCCCTGGGAATAGCTTTGATACCTCTGCATTTCGCCTTTCAGTGCCAGGCTGGTCTGAGTCGGTTGAACGTGAGGCTGGGCTTTTGCGTATTTCCCTGGAAGGACAGCGCAGTTCCGTAGCCTCTGCCGTGGGGACCTCTGCTGGGTTTGGTCGGAAACTTGCCATCATACTCCCGGATATTTTCTGTTTTCTGGCTTCCCAATTTCTGCTGTTTTCCCCGCTTTTTCCCCTTCAGTGGATTGATAGTCCTGCATTCTATTTCTTTTCTACTGTTTATGTGAAGTAGCAACTTTTCATCGGAAGGCTCAAATTTTTGACAAATGTATTTTAACCTGTTTTCTCTGGTGGTTAAGTTTAACGGTGTTGGCTGGTGCTGCGACTCACTAGGCTAATCCTCCACCTGCGGCGCCAGCACGCCGGGTTCTAGTCCTGGTTGGGGTGCCGGATTCCGACCCGGTTGCTCCTCTTCCAGTCCAGCTCTCTGCTGTGGCCCGGGAAGGCAGTGGAGGATGGCCCAAGTCCTTGGGTCCTGCACCTGCATGGGAGACCAGGAGGAAATGCTTGGCTCCTGGCTTCAGATCAGCGCAGCGCGCTGGCCATAGCAGCCATTTGGGGGGTGAACTAATGGAAGGAAGACCTTTCTCTCTGTCTCTCTCTCTCACTAACTCTGCCTGTCAAAAAAAAAAAAAAAAAAAAAAAAAAAGCTAAACAGTGTCTAGGACCAGTGTTATGGTGCAGTGGGTTAAGCTGCCACTTGTGACACCAGCCTCCCTTATGAGCACTGGTTTGAGTCCTGGCTGTTCCATTTCCAATCCAGCTCCCTGCTAATGGTCTGGGAAGAGCAAGGGAAGATGGCCCTGCCACCCATCTGGGAGACTTGGATGAAGCTCCTGGCTCCTGGCTCCTGGCTGTGGCTTGGCCTAGAGCTGGCCATTGTGGTCATCCGGGGAGTGAGCCAGTTGATGGAAGATTCCCCACACCTCTGTAACTCTGACTTTCAAAATATATCTTCAAAAAGTTAATATGTAAACTTAAATAATGAAAGTATTGCATACTTAGACTCACTTGCTGTGTTAATGACTCATTTTAAGAAACGGTATGTTTATTATGTGTAATTATCTCTTTCTAAGTTGATTTGTTTTGCGGTCTAATAAGGGGTGTGCAGCCTGGTGTTTAATGGCAGCGGCTTTGGTGTTGGCGGCTTTCTGCCTTTGAATCCGAACCCCACTGCTCACCGACCTGGACAGCAGTCACTGCCCCAGCCACAGCTTCCTGTCTTCCAGACAGGGCTCAGGGGTGGTCGTCTCTGCGCTTGGCGGGAGGTGCTGCTGTCCCCCGTGCGCACGGCGTGGGTGGGGATGGGGCGGTGAGGGGTGGCGGTCCCTGCGTGCCCATTCCTCCGGCCCGGGGCAGCACCCTCACTCTGCATCCTGTGCCCCGTGTCTAGCCAGCCACTGCTGCTTGCCTGTTTCTTATTTTCCGAATGCCGGCCTGCCTGGAGCTGGGGTTTGTGTGGCTGTTAGTGCGAATTGCAGGGCTGCCGCGGGCCTGCTTAGGGCTGTGTCAAGTTTTTCTCTTTGTTTCTGACAGTTTTCGTGTGGCGGAGAAGGTGTCTGACGCAGGCTGACTTTCTTCAGTGTGAGAGGAGCCCTTTCTGTTTCTGTTTTGCTCTGGAGTTTTCTCTTGCTGCTGGAGTTCATACGTCTCGCAGGCTGTGCTAGGGCTGTGTCCGCCGACCCGGCGGGGTGCTTTGTTCTGGAGCTCAGCCTCCACACGGTTTGTCCCTTGTTGCTTTCCTGTCCCTCCCCCGCCCCACCGTGTCCTCCTGGCATCTGGGTCGCACGTCCGGGAGCCTGGGTTCGTCTTCCTTGTCACCTAGGATTTTCTCCCCATTCCCATCTGCCTTGTGATCTTAAGTTTAACCAGGACAGACACAGAAGATGTTTTGGAAAGAATAAAATTACATAGAAATCATATACAGCTATTTCGCGTCTTTTTTTTTCGGGGGGGGGGGGCGCCCCCACCCTCAGGAGGGTCCTGTTGTTAGGTATTCGCCACCGTAGCCTTTCACCACGTGTAAGGTGCGTGCCCGCGCTGAGCGGGAACAGTCAGGACTGCACACCTTCTCTGTGTTCCTGTGACGTGCGTTTGATCGCATCCTGGCTGAGAGGGCATTTGAAGTCATGCTCCTGAATTCCACTTCCTGGGTAAGCTGGCTTTCCTGCTTTATTGCGGCTTTAGGAGAAGCTGATTCGGGAGATTGCTCACTGTCACGGGATCCTGATCACCTCCTACTCCTACATTCGCCTGATGCAAGATGACATTAGCAGGTACGACTGGCACTACGTGATCCTGGACGAAGGACACAAAATCCGGAATCCAAATGCCGCCGTCACGCTAGCCTGCAAGCAGGTATGACCTCAGGTGACAGGAGGGTTCCCGGGTAGAGAATTGCTTTGAAGCAGGAATACATTACCTGCTGTCACTGAGACATTTGTTGAGTGTTTCCCCGTGCCTTTGTGTAAGGAGTTACAAATCCACATTTTACTCGAATGTGGAAAATTCTCGCCACAAATCACTAGGCTCACTAGGCTTAATGTTTCGTGGAAGGGTCAGTTGCTAGAACGTGGCCAGAGAGCCGGCGCTGCAGCTCACTAGGCTAATCCTCTGCCTTGCGGCGCTGGCACACCGGGTTCTAGTCCCGGTCGGGGCGCCGGATTCTGTCCCGGTTGCCCCTCTTCCAGGCCAGCCCTCTGCTGTGGCCAGGGAGTGCAGTGGAGGATGGCCCAAGTGCTTGGGCCCTGCACCCCTTGGGAGACCAGGATAAGTACCTGGCTCCTGCCATCGGATCAGCGCGGTGTGCCGGCCGCAGCGTGCCAGCCGCGGCGGCCATTGGAGGGTGAACCAACGGCAAAGGAAGACCTTTCTCTGTGTCTCTCTCTCTCACTGTCCACTCTGCCTGTCAAAAAATTTAAAAACAAAAACAAAAACAAAAAACTAGAATGTGGCCAGCCCACCTGTAGTCCACAGTGCCCACTTGGGCAGTGAGAAAACGTGGGCCATCTCCACGGGAGGAAAGTTGTAGCCGCATGTGATGTCTGTGTGTGGGAGGGGACCACGCCGCGGGGCGTGTTGAGATACACCGTGGGGGAGGGGTCCACGCCACGGGGCGTGTTGAGAGACACCGCGGGGGAGGGCTTGGCCTGTTGAAGGTGAGTCCAGTAAGGAGGCGCTTATTTCCGCAACAGTTCCGCACGCCGCACCGCCTCATCCTGTCCGGCTCGCCGATGCAGAACAACCTCCGGGAGCTCTGGTCGCTCTTCGACTTCATCTTCCCCGGGAAGTTGGGCACCTTGCCCGTGTTCATGGAGCAGTTCTCGGTCCCCATCACCATGGGGGGCTATTCCAACGCCTCCCCGGTGCAGGTAACCTAGTGGGCAGGTGGCTCCGTGGGCTTTGGAATACCCAGAACCTCCTGCTAGATGGTAGCTGGATCATTCAGCGTCAGCAAAATGGTTATCTGATAAACATCCCAAAATTACTTTTGCTTGCTGACTCATATTTTCCCACATAAGGTTTTAAAAATCATGTTTACTCAGAGGAGAGCCCAGAGTAAAACCTCTCCTTGCATAACAGAAAGAGAGCAGCTTTGGCCTTGGTTGTTCCTGGGGTGTTTCTGTCAGGTAAGTAGCACAGGTCACGGGTGACCGGAGGGGGCATCGACCAGGCCAGCGTGTGCTGAGCGCACCCTGGGGTAGCGCTGTGTCCTACAGAGTAAGGAAGAGCTTAGGGGAGGGGACAGCAGGTGGGGCCCAGGGTACGTGTCTGGGCAAAGAGCCACCCAGAGTAAGGGTGGTGACGGGAGCGCGGCCAAGCTCAGTGGTTGTGGGTGGTGCCGAGACCCCCCTGACTAAACTGGAGATGCCGTGGGGCAGGGGGAGGTGGAGAGAGAGGCAGCAGCCTGCAGGGAGGGCTGGGGCTGCGGCTGCCGAGGGGGTCTGAGCAGGACGCTGGGAGACAGCGCTTCCCCGGCAGCTCTGGGCTGCAGGCTGCTCTCCGGGGAGGTGGGCACTGAAGGAGCTGTAGGGACCCTTGGGGGTGAGAGCACAGAGGACCTCGGCCTGGACATGAGTCGTGTCTGAGAAGGAAGGTGGGGAGCTGGCGGACCCGGATGGCGTTTAGGGGGTGGGGAGCACGCTGCAGCTGACCGCTGAGGTTCAGGTCCAGGCAGCGGGTGGAATGGGTTTCTCACGGGCAGGAGCATCAGGAGATGCAGCTGAGCTGAGGGAGGTGTGAGGCCTTCTGGGCAGTCTCCAGCCTTGGGGGAGGCGGTTTCTGTGCAGCCGTCCTCAGGTGGGACCTGTACCTGCAGAGTCATGGCTGATCCTGGAACAAGGCCTCCCACCCAAAGGGATGCCCACCTGTTTTGGAGAACTTACATTTAAATAGAAAAGAATTTTAGCCCTTGAGTGTCAGAGAATTGTCAAAAAAAGAAAAGCTTTAATGTATTTTATGTTTTGAGATTGATTTTCAAATTTTATTTCTTGAAAGAGTTACTTGTTTGAAAGGCAGAATGACAGAGGAAGGGAGAGACAATCTCCCACCCACTGACTTACTCCCCCGACGCCCGCAATGGCTAGGGCTAGGCCAGGCTGAAGGCAGGAGCCAGGAGCTCCATCTGGGTCTCTCATGTGGGTAGCAGGGGCCCCTGTCCTCCACTGCCTTTCCAGGAGCAGTAGCAGCGAGCTGGATTGGAGACAGAGCCGCTGGGACTTGACTGGTACACCTCCCATATCGGGATGCTGGCTTCGCAAGCCATAGCCTAACCTGCTGAACCTCGATGCTGGCTTCAGATGACTTTTTTTTTTTTTTAATTTTTATTAGTTAATAGATTTTATTTCAGTAGCTGTAATTCAGTGCTTGTTGAAATGAAAACTGAAAACAAGTATGCAAAATAGTTGCCTGCTTCTTATTAAACAATGAGAAGTTCCACAATACCACATAAAACAGTTCTGAGGTTTTCCCCAAAATTTAACAGCTTCAGTTTCAGTGTTTATCAAGACACAGAAAAGTAGAGGTTCGTCTTTTTTCCTGACTAATCAGACCCTTGCAGGCTGAGGGAGAGAAAGCTACTTCACACATGCAGATGGGGGGCTTCCCGGGGCTGTGGTGCAGAATGGATGCACCCTCCCAGCTCACACTCCTGCTGGTGAGCCCCCAGACATCAGGCCCATGAGCCTGAGCAAGTGTGTGGGAGAGTGTGTGCCGCAAACCATGGGCTCCCGCTCTGGCTGGCCACATGCTCACCAAGGGGGCCCCGGGGGAGTTGGATGCTGTGGCCCCCAGCCCACCCCACCCCACCGGCGACTGTGAGCAAGAGCTACTGCATAAGGAACCCTAGGCAGCCTCAGGCTGTGTGTCCTGCATTCACCTCAGCTTATCTTTTTAACTGTTTTGAAAAATGCTCTGAGTTCACATTGAAAACAAACCCCCAAATGGATCTTAGCAGATCTAACACCCAGAGGTGCGTCCAGCTCTGAACACAGCCACAGACTCTTGGAGTGGAGGTGTCAGTGCACCGAAACCCCTTCTCAGGACTAAGCAGTGAGTTGATTGTCTTTTGACAATCAAAAAAGCTGAGTAATACTGCATAGGAACACCAGAAACTGGCTCAGTGGAAACAGAAACTATCTTTAAAAAAAAGAAAAGAAAAAGGCAGAGTTACAGAGAGAGAAAGAGAGAGAGGTGTTTTCCATCCGCTGATTCACTCCCCAGAAGGCCTCAACAGCAGGAGCCAGGAACTTCTTCCAGATCTTCCATGTAGGTGTAGCACTTCCAAGTCCCAAGGACTTGGCTGTCTTCTACTGCTTTCCCAGGCCACAGCACAGAGTTGGATCGGATGTGGAGCAGCCAGGACAGGAACCCGTGCCCATGTGGGATGCCAGCACTGCAGGCGGTGACTTTACCCATTATGCCACAACGCTGGCCCCTACAGAAACTGTTTACGTTAAATAGGAGCCTGGCCACAGGCTGTGTCTGCTCAGGAATGGTGTGGTGCGACACACACTGTGACCCACCCACAGAGACGGCGTTTGGTGCTCAGGACCACAGAGTCACACGGTTGCCACAGGAGAGGAAAGCTGAGGGCAGAGGAGGAAGTGGAGGGGGATTCTCTTTCACTTCTGGCTCCGGAGTCCAGTCCTTCACACAGCCTGTCCCCGCTAGTGGTGCAAGTGGCCTGAATGGACCAGAGTGGATGTGGGTGCAGCCCCCGCTCGTCTGCGCTCATGGCATCCTGCTCATTGGAGACTCGCAGTTCCTCCTCAGCCCCCATCCTCATGCGCTCCACCCACGCCTCGTTCACATGCTCTCTGTCCTTGCTGTCCACTACAGACACGAGCCTTGGGTGTGCTGGAAGTCATGGTGATGCTGATGTCCTTGTATTCCAGTCTCCACGTTGAAACCTGGGCGGCGGGGGGGCGGGGGGGATCATGATGTCACCCAGCTTCGGCCTCTGCAGAATGCATTCCTACCACGAGCACGTGCATTTCCTTTTCATCAGAGCCCCCTGGAGGGGCTTGCAGAGGTTCCCCCACGCTTGTGGAGAAGCAGAAGCTCCATGGCCACAGAGACCTGGGCGGCAGCTGCGGGGAGCCAGGTTATGGAGACTCTGCGGTGTGCAGCTCACCCAAGACCGCACCACTCTGCAGTAGGAAGTACAGCTTGCCGAGGCACCCGTTTCCACGGCCCTGGGGGTTGGGAGTGACAGACACACACAGAGGAGCCAGTGGGAATTAAGTATAAGTCACTGGCCCAGGGCTGGCACGCAGGAGAGAGCAGGAACCCAGCGGCCAGGCCACTCCGCACCTGGCCCCGCTTTTATCCCCAGCCGCAGGCGCATCCACCTGCAGGCAGGTGATGGGGCGGAGGGAGGATTGGGGGAGTCTGCCCCCTTAATGCCCTGTGTACTTGCTTCTTCAGTGGGAGTAATGTGTTCATTAAATTCTGAAATTTATCCCTTTCTGCATCACAAATCATTGCTAGAGGTGATTTTTAACACTCTCTAAGTGTTGCATTCCAGGGGTTTTATGTAATGAAAGCTGTGTGTTTGCTGAACTTTGTTACTTATTATTCCAGACAACTCTTTTCTTTATATTTATGCATGTACACACAGAACATAGACACATGCACACATACACAAACACAGGGTACTTCAAGAGTTCATGGACAGTGCAGTTAAAAGGGAAGTTTATGTAGTGGGCATTTAGCCTAGAGCTTGAAGAGGCTTGCCTGGCTCCAGCTGCTGACTCCAGCTTCCTGCCAGTGGACACCCTGGGAAGCAGCAGTGATGGCTTGAGTGACTGGGTTCTGCCACACACCTGGAGGTCCTGGTTAAGTTTCTGTCTCCGGGCTTTAGCCAGCCCACTTCCAGCCCTTGTGGGCATTTGGGGAGCGGGCCAGCTTTGCAATTATGAAATAAAGTGGGGCAGGCATTTGACCGAGCAGTTAAGGTGACTGCATTCCATTGAGAATGCCTCGGTTTAATCACAGGGCTCTGGCTTTAACTCCAGCTTAGCGCGGATGCAGACCTGGAGGCCAGGGGTGAGGGCTCAGGTAATTGGGTTGTTGCCAGCCTTGTGGGAGGCCGGATTTCATTCCTAGCCCCCGGCTTCAGCCCTCCCAGTGCTGCCATCGTGGTTCTTTGGGGAGCAGACCAGTAAATGGGAGAGATTTCTTCTCTCTCTATTTCTCTGTCTCTCTTTTTCTCTGCACCATACTCTTTCTGTTTTTAAAATAGGCAAGTTCATTTTACTGCAGAAATTTTTGAAATCATCATAATTTTCTCATAATAGACATTTACACATAATGCAACATGTACATTCCCTGTACATTTTTAATGTATGCAGCCTCGAGTGAGATGTCCTTAGAGTCTTTTAAAAGTTTTTAACACGTCAGTTTTTTTTTTTTTTTTTTTAAATTTTTCACAGGCAGAGTGGACAGTGAGAGAGAGACAGAGAGAAAGGTCTTCCTTTTCCGTTGGTTCACCCCCCAATGGCCGCTGTGGCTGGCGCGCTGCGGCCGGCACACCACGCTGATCCGAAGCCAGGAGCCAGGTGCTTCCTCCTGGTCTCCCATGGGGTGCAGGGCCCAAGCACCGGGGCCATCCTCCACTGCACTCCCGGGCCACAGCAGAGAGCTGGACAGGAAGAGGAGCAACCGGGACAGAATCTGGTGCCCCAACCGGGACTAGAACCCGGTGTGCTGGCACTGCAGGCAGAGGATTAACCTATTGAGCCGCGCCGGCCAATGTCAGTTTTTTTTTTTTTGACTTGACTTTTCCTGTGTGTGTTATGGCCAAGCTCTTTTATTGTCATTCATTTTGTAGTTAACTTTTTCTTACATTTAAACTTGGGTTGAAACTTTTCCTCCTCCATGAAGCAGTGCATTACTAAGCCATTATGTCTGTTTAGATTGTTTCCCTTGTAAGTGTCAATAATTGATCGAATTCTGTGTGTGCTCCTCAGTGGCTGGCAGAGAGTGGGGGCCTGGCCCGTGGGTCTTTGTTGTCCTGTGTGCAGTTAATGCCCCTCTCGTGAGTGTGTCCATTACAACCCAGATGCTCCTTTTCGGGCCGGAGTGACCTCTCCCTCCAGGGCCCCGGGGACTGCACCGCACACTCTGCCGTCTCCGGGGCGCTCAGCCCTGCCTGTCAGCCGCCTGCTCCCAGGGCGGCCGTGCTCCCCTCCCCCCATCTTAGCTTTTGATCCTAGTGCTGCAGAGTGGCTCTTTGTAGCTCTGGAGGATACAGGGTTGTAAACAGAGATGGCGTTGAGCAGTTCCCCCAGAGGGTGGTGCGGAGGCTAATCAGTCTGCACGTTAGGGTTTAACTGGGTAGTGGTGATGACAGCAAAGTGCAGACAGAGTGAGGCACGGAGCTCCTGTTCTGTGTGGTGTTACACATGTGGCTTCATGAGATGAACTCTTTTACTGTTGTAAAAACGTGTTGTACTGGAGGCCGCCTCCTCCCGGAGTGTACAGACTAGTTTTCCTAAACCATCTTCCAGTCATTTCCACCCAGTTTTGTACGCCAGCGACCACTCTTATTTTTTTTTGGCAGTGGAATCATTTGTGTAATTTCCCGCCCCTTTCTCTTCCTACAAGGTTAAGACCGCGTACAAGTGCGCCTGTGTCTTACGAGACACCATAAACCCATACCTGCTGCGGAGAATGAAGTCAGACGTCAAGATGAGCCTTTCTCTGCCGGACAAAAACGAGCAGGTGCGTACGCCCAGCAGTGAAGAGAGCATTCCTCCCAACACTCCGCACATGCCTGTTTGTGGTGTCGGCCCCAGCGGGCCTCTTCCCCAGCCTGGCCGTGCTGTCAGCCCCTGCTTGTCTGTGCTACATGATGCCTTAGGTGCCCGTTGTGTTAGTCCTAGGCTCCAGGACCCAGCGTGGATAAAGCCAAGTTCACTTTCCCAGAACTGGTGCTGCTGCTTGAACAGTCACAGATGAGCTCCTCCGATGTCAGGCGGCGCTGAGTGTGGAGAACCACGTGGGCAGGGGTGTTGGGGAAGTGGGTGTTCTCGCAGGCGAAGTCTGAGACCTCTGATGAACTGACGCTGGGCAGGGCCTACAGAAGGTGAAGGCGAGAGCTGCGTGGGTTGGGAGGAAGAGCGTGCCAGTGGACGCACTGGGGTGGTGCTGCCGTTCACTGGGGATCGGCAGGGAGGCCGGTGAGGCGAGGCTGGCCGCCCGAGGACGCAGGATCGCTGGCTGGAGGCCGGGTCAGGAGTGCTTGCTGGCCTGGGGAGGGGTGAAGAGGAGAGTCAGGGGAGCCAGGTCCTGGACTGAGGCGTTAAAAGACTCGTCCCTCTGAAATCCATTCTAGTGTCATGTAGTCTGTGAGCGGCTGCAGCTCTGCTCAGCACCTGACGGTAAACCTCTGTCATCAGGTGCTTCTGTCCCTTCCCAGGGGCGTCTCCAGCCCCTGCCTGCCCCCAGGCCACCATCCTCGGCAAGGTCTCTGACTCCAGAACAGCAGTGGCCCAGGTGTCGTGGTGCCTCCTCCTCCTCCTCCTCGCCTGGTGTTTCCCACCTGCGGCTTTCCTGTGAACTAGTGTGGTTAGCTGTCACCAGGCTTGTCCTCCCGCCCAGGCACTTCTCCCCCACCAGCTCCAGGGCTCTCATCCAGCCCATGTGCCCTGGTGTATCTGCCCTGTAGACCCTCAGACTGTCTGCTTGTATTCCATGCGTATTCCATGCGTTCCCCGCCCCCCCCCCCCCCGCCACGATTGCATCTGAAGGACTGACATGTGGAATCTTAGTTTCTTAAATTCTGAGGTTCATATTTCAGAAAGACTGCTCAGACGTGGGCTGGACTGGGGTGCAGGTGGGGCGGGCAGAGGGGTGGAGGGCCAGGGGACAGTTTCTGGCTTAGATTCCAGGTCTAGGGTGGACCTGCTGCCCCGGGGCCTTTGTGGGGACAGCCAGCCGGAGGGTGTGGCCGGTGCATTTAATAAGGGATGGATTTGAAGAGCCCGTGGGACACCCACTGGCCCAGGAGGCAGCTGTCGGTGGATCTGGAGCTCTGAGGAGCGTTCCAGGCTCTGCCAGGGGTTCTGGGTCCTTAAACCCAGCAGCTTAAGGAGAGCATACAGGAAGAGGAACTTGAGAGGGAAGGGAGGCCCCGGCAGACAGGAGGAGGTGGTCGGGAGGCCGACGGTGGGTCCCCAGGCTATCAGCGCAACAGGTGTGAGCTGGACAGACTGGCTGTGGGGCCCCTCAGAAGTTGCGAGTGGTGTGTCTGCAGCAGGGGGAGTGGTGTCCGTGGGGTCTCCGGCAGGTGTGGGCGGGTTTTCAGAGTCGGGGCCAAGGTTGCTGGGTGGCCCTAGATCCTGGGTAGGGACCTCTTCCTCTTGGAATAAAGGATGCTAAGGCCAGGCTGCTATAAAAGCAGAGGCATTTCTGGGGGAGGCACGTGGAGTGTCGGCGCGGCCGCCAGGGCTCAGGCAAGGTGCTGGGCAGGGCAGGCAGTGGCAGGCCGATGCGGGTGTTGTCCAGCCGGCTGGGCGGGCACCGTACATAGTAGAGGAGGCAGACACAGTGGGTTCACGGTCATCCTTCAGATTGTGTCTTTGTGGCCTCAAATTTCTTTTTTTTTTTTTTTTTTTTTTTGACAGGCAGAGTGGACAGTGAGAGAGAGAGACAGAGAGAAAGGTCTTCCTTTGCCATTGGTTCACCCTCCAATGGCCGCCGCAGCTGGCATACCGCGCTGATCCGATGGCAGGAGCCAGGAGCCAGGTGCTTTTCCCGGTCTTCCATGGGGTGCAGGGCCCAAGCACCTGGGCCATCCTCCACTGCACTCCCTGGCCACAGCAGAGAGCTGGCCTGGAAGAGGGGCAACCGGGACAGAATCTGGCGCCCCGACCGGGACTAGAACCCGGTGTGCCGGCGCCGCTAGGCGGAGGATTAGCCTAGTGAGCCGCAGCGCCGGCCCACTGTGGCCTCAAATTTCATGAGACCTTCTGCTCAGTGAGGAGTACACACCCTGCTGATGGAGAGTGTTGGCCACAGGGGCCTGCAGGGACACCTGTGGGAAAGTGGCTGCCAGGGAAGAAAGAACCATGCGCTGGTGGGGGGGGGGGGGGAAGTGGCAGGTGGCAGGGCGTCAGCGAGCACGATGCCATAGGTAGTCGTCCCTGCTCAGCTGGCATGGTGGCAGCTACGGGCAGAGACAGAGCTGGTAGGCTTGGGTCCCTGCCAAGAACTCCAGGAGAGGGAGACCTCCAGGTGGGACTTCTCAGGTTTGCACTTGGGTGAGCTCTGCTGAGCAGAGTGCGTGCCGGGGCCACCTGGGAGCTGGGCCGGACCCAGCACGCTGAGGCTAGGGTGGGCATGGTCTGTGCATCCAGGTACTGTGCTTGCCGTGTGCAGGAAGCCAGACTTCGGAGCCTGTTGGTGCATGAGTGGGCACCAGGAGGTGGGTGGGTGAACAGAGGGGCTGGTGCAAGGTGTGGGATATGCTCTTCAGTCTTGGGGTCTTCTGTTGTCCAATGAGAAGTGCTTTACAAAAACTACAAACACTGCTCCTGTGGTGATCTTACTTTTCTTTTGACATGCTAGTTTATTGTTTTCCCTGTGTAGGTCTTATTTTGCCGTCTCACAGATGAGCAGCATAAAGTCTACCAGAATTTCATTGATTCCAAGGAAGTATATGCGATCCTCAATGGAGAGATGCAGGTTGGTGGGAGAACAGAAGCCGGGGGGATGGACCGGGGACCAGGCAAGGTGAGGCAGGAGGGACGTGCGTTTCTGGAATGTTCCAGGCTCTTCCCAGCATGTTGTCACAGTTCTCACGTGCAGTCCCACGTGGGAGGTGTGAGCAAGCTTCTAGGTTGGCGAAGTTAAGGTGCAGAATTTGGAAGATTGCACAGCCATGTGCTCAGAGCTGGAACCCAGAGCAATTGATTATGACCCTGTAGACAGGCTCAGTCCAATAGAATCTTCTAGTTGTAGCAGCGGAAGAAGGTGTGTGAAAGTTACCTTCTTGTAGCTCCTAATTTAGAAAAAAAAAACCTAAGAAGCCAGGGAGGAGTCCTGTGTTGTCTCGGGCAGCCCCCTTGCCCGCCTCCCCCAGCCTCGCTCCGCGTGGGAAGTCTGAGTGCATACGTTCTTTTGTGCCTTAGATCTTCTCTGGACTTGTAGCCCTCAGAAAAATCTGCAACCACCCTGATCTCTTTTCTGGAGGTCCCAAAAATCTCCGAGGTCTTCCTGAAGAAGAGCTAGAGGAAGATCAGTTTGGATACTGGAAACGCTCTGGGAAGATGATCGTGGTCGAGTCGCTGTTGAAGATCTGGCACAAGCAGGGCCAGCGAGTGCTGCTGTTCTCTCAGTCCAGGCAGGTGAGCGCACCAGCCCCGGCGGGAGGCGGGCTGGCCGTTTATGACCTCAGGATCGGAACTGAAGCACAGGACACGTCTGAAACGGGGCCGGGGGCAGCCTGTGGTTTCTGCGGGAGTTCGGCTCTTTGCTGGCAGCCAGCGTCCAGAAGTGTTTTAAAGCTCACTGTGTGCTTCCGGCGTGCAGATGAGTTGGGGCCTGGAAGCTCTAAGAGTTACGCATGAGGAGGTGGCACAGATGCTCTTCCGGCCTTTAGATTTCTGTGCCTCAGAGGGGCCTCCATGACCCCAGGCTGGGGAAGGTGTGCCCGTCTGCACAGCGCGAGAAACCCCGGTGTTCACCTGTGCCTTCCCCCAAGTAGATGCTGCACATACTCGAGGTGTTCCTCAGAGCCCAGAAGTACACCTATCTCAAGATGGACGGCACCACGACCATAGCGTCCAGACAGCCTCTGATCACCCGGTACAACGAGGTAACGCGGGACCCCATGGGAGAGCCGCGGGCGGCGGCCAGTGTGTGAGCGTGTCCGCAGCGCCTGCATTGTGGGGCTGGCTGCAGGGAAGGGGCTATTGGCTTTGACGTCTGTGCACTTTGTGATTGCTTGTGTGTGTGTGTGCATGAGTGTGTCTGCGTGCATAGGTGTGTGTGTGTGCATCGGTAGTGTCTGTGTGCATGGGTGGGTGTGTATGCATGTGTGTGCGTGCATGGGTGTGTCTGTGTGTGTGCATGGGTGTGTGTGTGCACAAAGGTATGGGTGTGTGTACATGGGTGTGTCTACATGCTTGTGTGTGTGTGTGCATGGGTGTCTCTGTGTGTGTATGTGTGTGTGAGGTGTATGTTTAAGTAAAGACTGTTTTCCTTCTTGGTAACTCTGATTTTAGGTATTACTGATAGCACTGGGATTACAGGAAGAGCTGTGGGGAGCGTGCCAGTTCCCCACAGGTCCTTGCCTGGGGCATGGGCGGGGTGGAGAGCCGTGTTGTGTCTTGCCTCTAGGACACGTCCATATTTGTGTTTCTTCTGACGACACGAGTGGGCGGCTTAGGAGTCAACCTGACCGGAGCCAACAGAGTCATCATCTACGACCCCGACTGGAACCCGAGCACGGACACACAGGTGTGCTTGCTGTTGTCTAAAGGATCCGTTAGGGATGCGGGTCCGTGGCGGGCGCTAGTGGGTTCCATGCTGGTTCACTGTGTGGTTGTCCCCGCCCTTGCACGTCGCAGGCCGAGGAGTCTGCAGCAGTGTGCCCGGGGGTGCTGGGCTAGGTCTGAGCTGCCGCATGCAGAGGTGCGCTGTTGGCCAGCCAAGGCGGCTCATCCTGTCTTCCTCACCTGGCTGTTTATCTTCGTAACTAGTCATCGCTACCCTGTGATAGTTTCTATATTATTATATTGAACGTTGTTGTTGTCATCGTCGTCATTCTCATTGTTGGCGTCACCGGCCAGCATTCTGACCCTGGAAGCTACACGCTCCCGCCCTCGCTGAGACGTCTCTCTCTGCCGCAGGCCCGGGAGCGCGCGTGGAGAATAGGCCAGAAGAAGCAGGTGACCGTGTACCGGCTCCTGACCGCGGGCACCATAGAAGAGAAGATCTACCACCGGTCAGTGCGGGTGTGGCCCTCTCCCACCGCTGCTCTGGGGGTTTTCCGGCTGTCGTTTAACTTTGGAGTGCCACTTTCTTTCAGAAAAGTTGTAATGCGTGACGGAGTTGGGCTGACACTGGCATTTCCACAGAGTGCACAGGTGCGGTCCTTGGCTGAGGTGGCCCTGGGAGAGAGGCCGGCCGGCTGTTGCTGGGGCTCACAGGCACATTGTGGTCTCCGCCCCTCCCCCACCAGGCTTTGTCCCCGGGCTGTACCCCAGCTCCTCTGGGGAGGCCCCCTGCTCCCGCGCTGCGATGGGCCACTCCTGGAGCCCTCGTGTCCTTAAAGGCCTGTGCTGAGTGGGATCCCGTGAGAGGAGAAACGTGCGTGCTTGGTCTGAAGATGCGCGCCCAGAAGGGCCCAGCACTGCTTGGCGGAGATGCCAGTGCCAGGGGATGCTGGCAGGGCCGCAGGCGGGGCCGGGCACACGGGTCAGGGTGAAGGCAGAGCCTGCAGGCGGCCCCCGGCTCAGAGAGGCCGGGAGCCACAGGCGTGTGTCTGGGAGTGCGGTGACTCCTGGTGTGAGTGGTGAGCAGCTGTTTCTAATTCAGATTCTGCGACACACAGGAGGAGCCTGGCCAGTGCTGCACAGGCAGGCTCCTGAATTGTGCTTTGCTAAGGCTGAAGGCTTGGGGCACTGTCTGGCCACTCGTGCCGCTGCCATTGTTTCATAACTAGAGTTTGGAGCTAGCGCCCTGCATTTGTTCATAACAGCTGAATTTCTGCCTTCCTAGACAAATCTTCAAGCAGTTTTTGACAAACAGAGTGCTAAAAGATCCAAAGCAGAGGCGGTTCTTCAAATCCAATGACCTCTACGAGCTGTTCACGCTGACCAGCCCCGACGCGTCCCAGAGCACCGAGACCAGTGCCATTTTTGCAGGTACCGTGGCATCTCTCGGAGGTTCAGGTGGCTCGAGGGGTGGGAGTCCCGCAGTGTGATGTTGGCTGTGTTTCCCCCTTGGCAGGGACCGGGTCAGATGTTCAGACCCCCAGACGCCATCTCAAAAGAAAGAGCCAGCCAGCCTTGGGAACGGACCGGGGCCTTCCAGAAGGCAGAGCGCTCGCCGAGGCTCCTGCGTCGGCAAACGATGCCCCGGTGCCCGCAGAGGAACCCAAGGCCGCTGGAGTGGAAGCGAATGCAGGGGCTTCTGAGGAAGGCGACCCTTTGCAAGGAGACCCTCCCACAAGGGGCAGCGCGACTCCCGGCGACGGGCTGGGAGAGGAGCCGCATGCCACGTCTCGGCCGGAGGACTCTCAGGCCGGCGGTGGCAGCGGGACATGTCCAGACGCCTCAGGATGTGGCCAGGCCCCTGGGCTGTGCAGCGAGGAGAGCATGGACGCCAGGCCAGGCCTCTCTTCTCCAAGAGAAGGCTGTCGGGCTGAAGCCGGGCCTCTCTGGGAGAGCGAACAGACAGAAAATAGTTCTCTTAAGCACAAGGCAAAAACGAAACATCAGAACGTGGCCAGAGAAGGGAGCCCCGGGAAATGCGCGACCCCAAAGCAGCAGCCCCGGAGCTCCAGGCCCCACAGGGACGCCAAGTTTGAGGGGACTCGGATCTCACACCTGGTGAAGAAGAGGCGGTACCGGAAGCAGGACAGCGAAGACGCGCGGGAGGCCGGGGCCCGGAGCACTGACGACTACGTCTTGGAAAAGCTTTTCAAGAAGTCAGGTAATGCTTGTGGTGCAGGTGCCATGCACTGTTGCCAACGGGCAGAGCAGGCTCTCCACCCCGCGTCCTCTCTCGGCATTCCCTCGGCAAGCGGCAGTGCTAGCCAGTAGCCACTTGTAACAGGAAGGCGTGTGGTGCTGTAGGTGCAGCTGTGCTACCCGTGTGGCAGTAACCTCCTTAGATGCTGGGTGCATCTGGTTCTCCAGTGACGGGAGCTGACAGTGAGAGCTCACGGTGGGGAGGGCCAGGGGCTTGGGAGAATCAGGCCCTCTAGAAGCAGAGCTGGGAGCTGACGTCAGGAGAAGCGTGAGGGGAAGTTGATGCACCTGTAGCTCCGGTCCTGGTAGACAGCGCCCACAGCTCAGTCACCCCCAAGGTGAGCCGAGAGAGACAGAGGGACAGACGTGCCATCTGCTGGTGTACCCCTCAGATGCCTGGGGGCTAGGCACCCCGTCCAGCTCTCCCACTTGAGCCCTCACTGGTTGCCTCCCAGGGAGTGTGTTATCAGGGATCTGCAATCGGGGCAGAGCCATTCCAATAGGGCTGTGGGTGTCCCAAGTGACACCGTGACTGCTGCACCAAGTGCCTGCTTCAAGGCTTTTGTTCAGCCTGATTAAATAGTTGTGTTAATTTCTTACGTTGAAAGAATTTCAGACTTTCAGCTTGGCTAGTACAGGGAGCTCTCCTGTATCCATCACGCACCAGTGCCTGCCTCCTCATCGTCACACATGCATGTGGCAAGCCGTCGTTTGGCAGAAATTACAGAGGAGAGTAGCAGCGTTTGTCGTGGGTCTGTCTTTCAAGATGGCTTGGTTAAGGGGGAATCCGCGAGGTTCTGAACACTAGTGTCTGTCTCGTGTAATGAACGCGCACTTTGAAGAGCTGTTCTGTCGGAATCTGAGATGCAGGTGTCCTGTTCCTCCTCCGACTCGTGTGCACTGGTTTTGACGTCTGTCAGCGACGCTCTCCTGTCAGCTGTCACTGTGGTGGCCGCCTGATGGTGATTGCCATTCTTAGGAACAAGGTCTTCCTCCTGCCTCATCTCCTTCATTTATGTGCTCTCCACGGCCTCTCTGTTGTCTACCGGTGACTGTGATTGGCGGGGGTGCCGACAGGCTGGCGCCTCTGTCTTTCTGACACCCCTGTTCTTGGAGCACCCCCTTCCTGGCATGCTGGCTTGTTCTGCCTGAGCCCGAGAATCCGCTGTGTTCTCCAGGAGCCCTGGGGAGTGGTGCTTAGACACCAGGATCTGGGTTCTCAGAGTGCTCACTGCTACTGGGGTGTCGCCGCTTCCCCGGCCACTAGACAGCTAGGACTCAGATGTGTGTACGCGTGTGTACACATGCCTACATGCATGTACATGTCCAAATGACGTACACCTGTCTGTGTCTCTGTGTCTGTGTCTGGCTAGATAAACCATGAGTTTGGCTTCCAGCGAAGATGCAATGACGTTTACCCACCCACAGAAAACAGCTAAAGCCGTCGCACCATCTGTGAGGCAGGCAGTGGTTCTCAGGCTCCCAGAGTGGAACAGATGAACTCAGCCTCCCCAGGCTGGCCCACTTCGCTGCCTTGCAAGAGTGTTCAGGCTGTGGTATAAATGGAAACCCCAGATGCAGCCCCAGCAGAGTGCTGAGGAGGCAGAGCTGAGTGCCCAGGGGCACCAAGGAGGCTGGAGTGGGCGTGAGAGTGCTATAGAGGAGAGCATGGCCCCCTGGACCTCAGCTGATGCCGGGCAGCACTTGAGTTTGAAGAAATAATGGCCCCAGACTTCCCACATTACATAAACCAACCTATCCAAGAAACATCATAAACCCCAAATACAAGAAACATAAAGAAAAATACATAGCATGGTCAGATTGGTCCAAACGGTAAAGAAAAAACCTTGCAAGCACCCGGAGGTGGGAAAGACGTGTTAGCTACCGAGAAACAGAAATAGACAGCAGTGTCTGTCAGCCTGGGATCAAGATCACGGCAGGAGCAGGGTTCTGTTCAAGGTGATTGCACTACGGCGTGCTAACTCTGCGTCCTTGGCTAAGCTGACTTTCTTCAGACTCACCAGGATTTGGAATCACCAAGTAGATGATGGGTTGCTCTTGTCAACTTCTGCTTTTGATCTTTATTACTTTCTACCTTATGCTTTTGGTTCTGTCGCATTTTGATGGTTATTTACTTTTTTGGCTTTGTTTTTTCTTTGCACAAGCTTTTTTTAACTTAGAAATTTAATTCATATAATTTTATTTCATTTTTGTCAGTGTAAGTGTTCAAGGCTAGGAGTTTTCTACAGCTTGCTGCATTGAGTGATCTGTAGCGTTTTCATGCTCATCAGATTCTAGAACTTCTGTAATTCTGTTGTATGTCTTTCCCTTCACTAAAGAGTTTCTGATCGGTTTTTGCATCCCTGCCAGGTCACAGGGAGGAAGTTAAGGGTTAAGACCGTGATAAGAGCAGGGTCCCTGGGCCGTCACACAGGGCGGGCGGGCGGGCGGGCAGATCTGCTGTCCCTTACAGTGGGGGTGTGTGAGTAGGAGTCCAGGCACTGGGGCAGCAGCACAGCCAGCGTGCCTTAGCTTTGCCTGCCGCCACGCTGGCTGCTGGAGGGGAGCCGGCACCCGCGCACACGCTGACAGGCCCTCTGCTGCTTCCATCCTGGCCAGTCGGCGTGCACAGCGTCATGAAACACGACGCCATCATGGATGGGGCCAGCCCCGACTACGTGCTGGTGGAGGCTGAAGCCAACCGAGTGGCCCAGGACGCCCTGCGAGCCCTGAGACTGTCCCGGCAGAGGTGTCTGGGCGCCACGTCAGGGGTTCCCACCTGGACTGGCCACAGGGGAGCATCTGGGGCCCCAGCAGGAGGAAGGTAAGAGCTCGCCCGCTCACCAGCAGGCCAGTGGCCGAGGCAGATGTCGGCTGGGCTGGGCTGGGCGTTGGGTGCACGGAGGGTGGGGTGGTGGCAGCCAGAGCTTGGTAATCGCGCCTTGTCCTCACTTGGGCCCCTCCTCCCAAAGCTGACTTCCTGCGGGAAAGATGGGTTTCGTGTGAGAGGCGGGCAGTTACAGGAGGGTGGTTCAGCCTGAGGAGGACGACCCTGTGCTGGGCAGTGTGCCCCTCAAGAGTCGGGGGTGGCTCCTCAGCTGCTGAGCGAGGACACGGGCCCTGCAGGCAGAGCCGGCTGCTGAGCGAGCACACGGGCCCTGCAGGCAGAGCCGGCTGCTGAGCGAGCACACGGGCCCTGCAGGCAGAGCCGGCTGCTGAGCGAGCACACGGGCCCTGCAGGCAGAGCCACGGCCGAGGAAAGGCCGGCTGCGGAGGGCGGGGCTGTGGCGAGGCCGCGTTGCCCGCCCAGTCCCGGAGGCAAGCCTGTCTTCCTCTGCAGGAGTAGGTTTGGTCAGAAGAGGAATTCGCACCTGTCTGCGCAGCGTCCCACGGAGAAGCGCCAGGTAACGGGCGAGCCGGCCGCTTTCCACACGGGAACGGGGCTTGACCAGGTTGCTGGGAAAATTTCACCCGCTTTGGCTGTGAAGCAATGACTGTTGCCGGCATAGCTGCCCCTTCTCGAAGACAGAGTCTTAGCCCAGGGTCCCGAGCAGCTCCCCTGTCCTGCCCTCGGCACGTTCAGGCAGGGCCAGGTGTCCACGGCCAGTGCAGCCCACCGGTGTGGAGGGGATGGGCCAGCCCTCCAGAGGGAAGGCCCCGAAGCCCCTTGCTTTCTGTGATTCCTGGCTGCTGGGGCCGAAGGCCCCCTGCCCCTGTTCCCCACCCCTGTCTGCCCTGAGGGCCTCAGGGAGATGGGTAGGCCCAGCGCTGCCAGTCTGTGGTCTTTCTGGCTAAGGCCTAAGTGCAAGAAAACTCAGAAAACTCACGAGCTCAGGGCTGCAGGCTCTGATTTTAGATTAGCGTGAACGCATTAGGAAGAGAACCCTTGACTCCCCATGCCAGCCTGTGTTCAGCAGCAGGGAGCTGAGGCCCAGTCAAAGCCAGAATTGTGTCTTAAAGAAGCTCGTGTGGAGTGTAAGGAAGGGAAGAGAAAGGAGACTTGATGTGAAGGAGAAGAGGAGGGGGAGGAAGGCTGTGATGCTGCCCCTCACCCCACGGTGGCCATCGGGCTCTCTCTGGGAGGAGGAGCAGGACAAGGCCACAGGTGCCCAGGGCCGCTCGGTCCTCCTTTGGCCCTGCGTGGAAGGCAGCCCGCGCTTTGCCTCCCTCTGCCCCTCCACCTCACGGGCCCAGGGCAGTGGCCAGCGTCCCCTCTCCTACTTGCTCATCCGTTTGGGGAAGTGGCCCTCGACAGTGGGTGGTCTTCCCTTCCCTTGGGGTCCCACGGGGTGTCCTGTCCTCCCCCTCTGCTCACCGCCCTGCACACAGGCCTGTGTGGGAGGGAGTGGGGGCAGGAACTGGAGATTCTGCACCAACGCAGTGGCCCTCTCTCCCCAGGACAGCGTTGCGGGGCAGGAAGGAAAGGACCGTGGCCCTGGGCACTTCAGTGGCCATGCAGAAGAAGCAGAGTCTTCGTCCGGGGCCCCTTCCTCGTCCTCGCTGTTGGCCAAGATGAGAGCGAGAAACCACCTGATCGTGCCTGAGCGGTTGGAGAGCGAAGACGGGCACCTCCTGGGGGCTGCTGGCCCCGCCCCCGCCCCCGCCCCCAGCGCCACGGAGCACGACGAGCTGCTGGTGGAGGTGAGGAACTTCATCGCCTTCCAGGCGCGCGTGGACGGCCAGGCCAGCACGCAGGAGATCCTGCGCGAGTTCGAATCCAGGCTGTCCGCCTCGCAGTCCTGCGTCTTCCGGGAGCTGCTGAGAAACCTGTGCACTTTCCGCAGAGCTGCCGGGGGCGAGGGGATTTGGAAGCTCAAGCCCGAATACTGCTGAGCAGCCCCCGAGCGCCCGCCCGACGCACATCGGCCCTGAATGGCGTCTACCTCGTACTTCAGGCTTCAAGGAAGAAGACACGGAGCCGACGTCGGGAGGGGTGCTCGGAGGGCTGGTCTGGCACTGCATTCCCCAGACCCAGGGAGCTGGCGGTCCTCCTGGGGCGCACTGGCCCCTTCCCAGAGCGTGCCGTCAGAGCGCTTACCTGGTTGCTCAGACGTCTGCGGAAATCTCAAGAATTCCTGTCATTGGTGCTAAGAACTTGTCTGTGTTCAGCCAGACTTGTTCAGTAAATGAGGTCATCGCTGTCTGATAACAGCATCGCTGTGATGCACGACTGCAACACTTCACGTCGATCATTCACCACTCAAAATCCCTTTTCTTACCTCTCAGATCGTACTTGCCTTTAAGCTGCCCTTCTTGAGGTACTGTTAAATTGCAGGTATTTTTATAAGTGAGGTGTGAGTTAGCTGGCTGATAAGGAAAGCGTGTGTGCTTGTACAGGGCTGTGGGCGCCGAGTGTGCCCTGACTGCTCTGAGCACCGCGAGTCTTTTCCCCACTACAGGGACCGTTGGCTTCAGGGCAAGAGAAAGATGCGTTACCATAAAAACAAAACAAGCAGAACCAAAAGTGCTGTGTAAAACCTGCACAAGACGCGCAGGCATCTCTCCAGACCACAGCCAGGTAGGGCCCGAGCGTCCCTGCTCGGCAGATCCCGACATCCACCGCTCCTGACCTCAGCTGAGGGATGGGTGACAGTCGAGGTGCAGGCTGTGTGTAGTTGTGTAACGTTTCCTTCAGGCTGTGTGTATGAAGTATACCTAGGAATCATGCACTTCACAGTCGGCTTGGGTTTGCACATGTCCCCAAGCCAAAAAGGAAAGAAATCCAAAATACTCCCGTGCCAAACGTTTCAGGTCAGGGACTCAGCTCGTGGACGTGACCGCCCCTGCCCTCCCCCTCCCGCCCCCAGCCTTCTCTGGGCCTCGGTCCCGTGGTTATCTTGGAGCACCTGTGGGTTAGCTTCTGTCCAGGCTCCCCTGCCTCCCTCCTGCCTGTCACTCTCCGCGCCACCCCTTGCTGTTTGGGTGGGCTGGCGTTCATCTGCGCCCCTCTCTCTCTGCCCGCTGTTCAGGGATGTGCGGTTCCGCGCTGCGTGGCCCTGAGCCTCCAGGCCCGGCTTTCTCACGTCCTTCTCGTGATCTTACAGTCTCGTCTCTGAAGTCTTGTTTTCCGATGGTCGCTGTGTTCCTGACGTGTCTCCCGTAACTGTCCTGCTGCAGCATGCTTTCTTGAGTGTGTTTTCGCAGGCTTGTTTCTGGGCGTTACCCTTGCCCCTTCTGGGGCTGGCTCCATGCATCTTTTTTTTTTTTTTTTTAAGATTTATTTATTCGTTTGAGAAGCAGAGTTACACAGAGTGGGAGAGACAGAGAGAGAGAGGTCTTCCATCTGCTGGTTCACTCCCCAGATGGCTGCAATGGCTGGAGCTGGGTTGATCTGAAGCCAGGAGCCAGGAGCTTCCTCTGGATCTCCCACGTTGGGGCAGGGGCCCAAACACTTGGGCCATCTTCTGCTACTTTCCCAGGTGCATTAGCAGGAAGCTGGATTGGAAGTGGAGCAGCCAGGACTTGACCTGGTACCCTTACGGGATGCCGGTGCCACAGGCAGTGACTTAACCTTCTATGCCACCATTCTGGCCCCTCTCCATGCATCTTGCTCATGTCTGCAGTGGGCAGCTGTGTCCAGATCTTATGTGCACCTACTGTCTGGGTTGGATCGGAGCACGTGGCCTCTGCCTGCTCCACTCTGGATCTCCTTGGGTTTGGTCCTGGGGTCCTGCCCTTTAGAGATGTCCTAGGCAGAGTCAAGAGTCCCACGAGGACTTTCTGCTTGTCCCGGATTCTAGCTTGCTCATTTTCAGGTTGATCCCTATATACTGGGGGAGAAGATATTATTTCCCCCACTTTGCCGTCTTTTACTGGGAAGTCGTAAACGGGATTCTTACACAGTTCAGGAAGTCTCGAGTTAAGCACGTGCCTCAGACGGGAGTCACAACTAACGACTGGCTCGTTTCTGGGGAGCCCTGAAGTTAGGATGCAGAAAGAGCTGGGGTTCCTGGACCAGTGCTTGGCCCCGCTCGGTCCCTGCTCTGCCCCTGACTGGCCTCAGCTGGGGTCTGGGCCCAGTGTGCACTCTGGGTGCAGGAGCTCAGAGAGATGACTCTAAAGGGAGTGGTTTGTATCCATAGCACATAGTGACTCATTCAAGAAACGTGATATTTGCAGCTTCTGAGGCTTGGTGTACCACAGATATGTGTCATGTGCTCAGCATGTTACATCCCATCAGACGTCTTCAGTCCCTTAGTACCTGAACACAGAGCTCCGTTAAAACATCGCGAGCCATGCTGTGCCTCCCCACTCCCACGCCGGTCTCGCTGCTGTCTGAGCGAAGGAAGGGCTGTACTTGGTGTGAGGCCTTCCGGGCCATTCTCTCTACAGTGACTTGACAGGAGCGGGGCGGACCGCTGCTGGCCAAGTCCCGGGTCACACACGGACACGGGGCAGCTCAGCCTCCCCAGTGCTTCTCCATGGCCATGGGACTGCATTATTTTTTATTCAGAAGTTTTTCTGAAATAATTTTTATTTATTTATTTATATGTTTATTCGAAAGGCAGAGAGACCAGACGGTCTCCCATCCACTGGGCCAGGCCGAAGCCAGGAGCCAGGAACTCCATTTGGCTGTCAGGTCGGTGGCAGAGACCCAAACACTGGTGCCGTCCCCACAGATGCCCAGTGTTTTCATCAGCAGGGGAGCTGGGATTGGGGGCAGGGTGGGGCCTCGAACCCGGCACCTGGACCTGGGATATAAGCGTCCCAAGTGGCGCCCGAATTGCCAAGTGCCTATTGCTGTGTGACTAGTTTCAGGCAGCGCACTATGAGGGGAACTTCCCAATGGGCCCTTAAGTGAAGAACTGGGGGTACACGCCCCTCGACACTCCTCGTTCCTGCTGGCTGTAATGCTTGGCTCAGTCTGGCCCCGAGCATGAACAAGGGGGGCATGCCCACCTTAAACTGTGTTCCTTTCACCTGTGGCTTACGAGTGAAATAAATCCCTGACTTCTTAAAAGCACCATCTATTGGAGCGTCTCTTAGAGCAGCCAGTTTGTTTTATGCATGTAATTTATCCTAGTGTGGTTATACCTTTTTATTATGTGACTAACTTTAAACATAATGTTACATGCAAGATGTCTTTTAATTCCTCTAGGTGCAGCTCTGCCTCCGTGGAATTAATGGGTTGAAAACGATGTAGATTCTTAGTGTTAACGGGTGGAGTGAAATTGCTTTTATTCAGTTTCGCACTTCATAAAAAAGACCTCTTTCTCCTCACCTTTGCCATCAGCAAGTAGTGTCATTCCCCATAGGGGTTTTTTTCAGTTCTTTTTGAACCAGTCTTGGTGGACGGTTAGCCTAGTCGTGAAGCTGCCATTTGGGGTGCCCCTGGTCCCATGTTAGGGTGCTCAGCTTCCGTGCCCACCTCTGGCTCCTGACCCCAGCTTCTTGCTCACGTAGGCTGGGAGGCAGTGATGATGGCTCAAGCGGCCGGGTCCCTGCCACCTGTGCGGGAAGCCTCGAAGGAGTTTCCGGTTTCCCCATGTTTGGGGAGTGCACCACTTGTCTCTGTGTCAACCGAGGAAAAAAAATGTTTTTAAAAAAAATACCTAGCTTTACCTTGGGTCTCCCTGATTGCTTATACAACAAGTATTTCCACGTTTTCTCTGCCATCTGTAGCTCTCTCTGCTCCTGTCCATGTCCCACTTATGTGCTTTTCCCATGGGTTATTCCTGTTTCCCCAGAGTGAAGCGGGAGGTCATGGATAGGCCATCCTTTCCCCCGCTGATCTGAAGTCCACCTTCTGCGAGGTCGCTCTGCAGCCGGAGCCGGGGGGCTGTTCCCCAGCCATGCTCGGCACACCGTCATCTGGCTCTGCCCTGGCTCTGCCCTGTGTTTGGTGACCACGCCTCTTTTCTTGTTTTCAGTGTCGTCGCCGCGTGCATTTTCTGATCCAGGTGTGTCATGGACTCAGGTGTTGTTTAAGTTCTGCTGAAATGGAGTTGCTCTTTGGGTTGGAATCGCATTCCTGTGTGCACTCTTTTGAGGGCAGTAGGCTTTGTTGTGGTGCCTACGATTTTCCTATTCCGCGGGTCTCTTTTACGTCTGTTATGTTGTCGGATGAAATGACGTAAAAGTCTTGTGCATTTCATAGTGGGCTTGTCCTTAGGTGTCTAACGGATGTTTAACTTTGGGAATCTTTTTTACATGAGAACACGGAGAACTAGGACATCCGCGTATACTGTGTTTATGATGTTTACCATCCAGAGCATTTTAATTTCAGCCTTAGCATGATCAGTCCCTCTGTGTTACGTTTTCTTTAAGGACCCTTGCCCTCACCTAAAGGTGTGAACACGTTCTCAGCAATTCTCTGTTAATTCCGTATGGTAGCTCATTTTTCTAGCACCTTTAAAAATAATGTGTCCCTTCCCCTCTGATAAGGCCATCTCTGTTTATGTCCGGGTTCCACGCAGTTGTGGGAATGTCTTCTAGGCTCCGTGTTCTGTTGAATTTGTTCAGTTATCTGACTTGGCCAGTAACTGCCTGTCTCTGTCATCGCGGCTTTATAAAGGGTTATTAAAGCAGTAGAGTGACGCCCCTCGGCCTCCACAAATGCCATGGTGGCTTCTGGAGCTTGACGCCATAGAAATTTTGCAATAAGCTCGTCACATGTGGATCTTATTTCTGCAGTTGTAATAAATGTACACATTAGTTGGAGAGGGTTATTTATGATAACTGAGTTTCCATCTTTGAATAGATCATACCGCTATTTATTAGATATTTATAAAGATATAATTCCATTATGGCTTAGGTTTTATGAAAAGGTTATGTGCATCTCAGATGTATTCCTAGCTGTGCTGTACAGTAAACAATGGTGACATTTTCTAGGTTAGAAGTTGGTTTTTGCACACTTACTGAACTTGTATTAATTCTGATCGCCTGTGACTTGTTCTGTATGTGACAGCCGTGTCGGCTGCCAGTAATGACACTTGTGTATGTCCAGCCCCATCCTTACACTTCATGTCCGTATGGTAAAGAATGATCATGGCAGTCGGCATCTCTGTCTTGTCCCTGACCTCGGAGATACAAGCTTTACGATTAAATAAACATTCCGTTGTTTGTAGCGGGAGTCTGCATCAGATTAGGGGCGTGCTCGTTCCAAGTCCTGAGTCCAGTGCTGAATCTTGCCAGCTGCACTCCGTGCATCTGCTGGTAGGATTACGTAATCTCTCAGCATCTTGTGGTGGGGAGGGCACAGCTCAGTTTCCTGACTTCCAGAACAGCGGTGTGAGGGAGCCCTGTGCATCCCAGGATCCAGAAGCTGGCCAGTAACTGATGAACATCGTCAAACAAGGCACGCCCACCGCACACTTACAGCGTCTCTGGATCCACCAGGTGAAGCGACATTCTACTAAATCTTGGCAAGAGCCCCGAGAGTCCACGGCACCTGAGCTACCATCCAGTCCCCCACCTCAGTGAGGTGGTAGAAGCTCCATGCTGCCTGGGTCAAGTCAAGAAAACGGGGCTCCCAGTGCAGGGACGTGCCACCCACGGGAGGGGCAGGCTGCCAGAATCTGTCACCCCCTCCAGCGCCAGGTTGCAGGGGCTAAATTCCTAAAGCTGAAAGTATAGCAAATTTCACTTGTACCGGAGGGGCCCGAGGGTAGGTCTGAATGAACAGAAAGGATGTTCAGCCAGCTCGCACAACCAGAGAGACTTGGCTACCCAAAGACCAGAGGAGAGGGAGAACCTCAGATGAGACAGCAACAGGTGCACCATGAAGACACCGTTATATGCACATGGGACAGGATGTACAGGGAGGACAGGAGAGAGCCAAACCTTCAAAGAAACAATGGCAGAAACTCCCCAGGTATACTGAGAATCTAACAGGAAGCTCAGTGAACTTCATGCATGGTAAGGATTCAAGGATCCGCAGATGTGTCATAGTAGAAATGCTGAAAGCCACAGGTGGAAAACGACACAGGGCCGGCGCTGTGGTGTAGCGGGTCAAGCCACCTTATGCGGTGCATGCATCCCATATGGGTGCTGGTTCCAGTTCCAGCTGCTCCGCTTCTGATCCAGCTCCCTGCTGATGCACCTGGGAAAGCAGTAGAGGATGGCCCGAGAGCTTGGGCCCCTGCACCCGCGTGGGAGACCCGGAGGAAGCCCCTGGCTCCTGGCTTTGGCCTGGTCCAGCTCTGCCTGTTGCGGCCATCTGGGGAGTGAACCAGCAGATGGGAGATTTATCTCTACCTTTCAAATAAAGAAAATAAATCTTAAAATGACGCATCATTTAGCAGGCTAATTCAGTAAGATTAGCAGTTGACTTCTTGGAAGAAACATCAGAGAATGGAAGACAGGGCAACACTCAAAGTGCTCAAAGGAAAGAAAACCAACCAACCAAGAGTTCTGTACCCAGCAAGGGTGTTCATTGAAAATGAACATGGGGGTGGGCATCCAGCCTCGTGGGTGAGATGCCAGGTCAGACACCCACATCCCACATTGGAGTGCCTGAGTTTCATTTCTCTGGCTCCTGACCCCAGCTTCCTGCTAGTGCAGACCCTGGGATGCAGCAGTGACAGCTCACGTGATTGGGTTCCTGGCACCCACGTGGGAGACCTGGGTGGGATTCCCAGCTGCGCCCACACCTGGCTGTTGTGTGCACTTAGGCATTGAACCAGAGGATGGAGCATCCCGCTCTGTCTGCTTCTCAAGTAAATTGAAAACAACAATGAGAAGGAAATAAGGACTCCTCAGATAAACAACAAAAATTGTTGCTAACAGACCTGCCTAATAAGAAATGCTAAAATAAGTTCTCCGGGCCAAAAGCAAGCACTTGCAATCCTGAGATTCACCCGGAGTACCAGGAAAAATGATGCTGTGATGACAGTGTCTCTCCAAATATGTGCATTTCTCCTTTCCTCTATAAACTGAGAAAGCAATTGAATTTAAGTTTTTGTATATGTACACACACACACACACACACACAACCTTGGGACGTAACACAGAAATGTAATGAATGTGTGACATACTTCCCAAAAGAGCACAGAGGAGGTGGGGGCAGCGAGACGGTGATGAGCTGATGCGAGGACAGCAGGTAAGGAAGTAGGCATTGTGACTGTGTTCTCTTGGCTGTAGTATGTGTAGTCGGAACCTGCAGAGTCGGGGAACAGAGTACAATCACATGAGGGTGCAGTTTGCATAGGTGTTGTTGGAGTTACAGTGTCTGAGTAGATTGTCCTAGACCCTAGAACAGCCACCTAAGAAAAGCTCCAAAAATACACTGCAACAGTAAGTACTGCATTAGAAAAAGAATGACTCCATGCAGAGAAAACAGTAGGAGAATGAGAGGAACAAAAAAGGCCTCAGAGAAAACCAAAATGAATGTGTATCCAGCTGTATCAGTAGCATTAAACACTGATGGTTTAAACAATCCAATGGAAAGATAGAGGTTGAGTTTTTAAAATATCCAGTTTTGCATTGTCTACAGAAGACACACTTCCGTTTCAAAGACACACAGTGGAAGGATGGAAAGTGGTATTAAAACGGTCTCCACAAGAAAGCTGGATTAGGTACACACCACAAGATAAGAAAAATCACTAGAGACCAAGGGACCTTTTCTAGCAAGAACACAGTCAGTTCCCCAGGTGTATAATAGTTACCCACACATAGGCGTTTAATAACAGCACCAAAGCCATGAACTGACAGAAATGGAGAAATTGGCAACAGTAATAATGGGAGACTTCAAACCCCGTGTTCAACACGGGTGGCACAGCTAGACTGAGATTAGCAGTGAAGTTAAACGTAGAAAGGTTCACCCTGCCACTGTAGCACTTAGTTTCTCAAACGTACCCGGTTGTGCTGGGCCGGGGAACTTAACAGGAATCGGGCAAAGCGTGTGGGTATGAGCTCAGTCACAGAATTACGTTGGAAATTCAAAAATGGGAAAAAGAATGAGGCACTCAGAAATACAAGGAAATCACACAAAGTAGTGTGTCAAGAAAGCAAAAGAGAAACCAGAAAATACAAGTGTTTTCTGGAAAAACAAAGGCACAACATGTCAAAACTTGTGGGATGAAGCTAAGAATTTTAGAGGGAAATTTATAGGTGTAAATGCTGATATTAAAAGGGAGGGCGACAGATGTTTAGCCCAGTGATTAAGATATCAGTTAAGACGCACACGTCCCACATCAGTACCTGGCTTCAAGTCCCAGCGCCACCACCCAGTCCAGCTTCCTGCTTGTGCACGCTCTGAGAGGCAGCAGTGATGGCTCCAATGATTGGGTTCCTGCCACCCACGTGGGAGACCTGGATGGAGTTCCTGACTTTGGCTCAGTCCAGCTCTGGCCATTGTGGGCATTTGGAGAGTGGACCAGTGAATGGGAGTACTCTTCCCCCACTCCAGTAGAGGATTTTAAAAAAGAAAAAAAAAAATCTTAAAGCGATAACTCTACCTCACCTTAGGTCACTAGGAAAAAAAAAAAAAAAAAAAAAGCAAACTGAACTCCCAAGCTCCCAAGCAAGAAGGAAGGAAATAATAAAGATTAGAGTGAGAATTAATGAAGTAAAGAGCAAAACAGTAGAGAAAATGACACCAAGAACTACTTTGTAGTGATTGGCATAATTGACAAATCTTTAGCTGGTTTGACTGAGGAGAAAGAAAGAGGACTCAAATTGCTAGGATCAGATATGAAAGAGGGGGCAGTACTGCCAACCTTACAGAAATAAAAAATTTTCTTGAAGATTGATTTATTTGAAAGGCGATTAGAGAGTGAGAGTGCACCTGCTTGCTTCTGCTGGTTCACTCCCTAAATGGCCAGGGCCAAGTTAAAGCCAGGAGCTTCATCCGGGTCTCCCATGTTGGTGCAGGGGCCCAAGCACTCAGGCCATCTTCCACCGCCTTCCCAGGTGCATTAGCAGGGAGCTGTATTGGTGTGGAGCGGCCGGGACTATAACTTGCACTCATATGGGATGCTGGCGTTGCAGATGGTGGCTTACCATGCTGGGCCACCACGCCGACCCTCCAAAGGTTTATTTTTTTTAAAATACAGTATGAACAATTGTATGCCCCCCCGAATTAAGTAACTTTGATGAAAGGGACAAATTAATAGAACAAGCAGCCACAACAGACTCAAGCAGAAATGGGCGTTCTGAACAGACCCTTTACAAGTGAAAAGATTAACTCAGGAACCAAACACTGCTCACAGTGAGTAGCCCAGGCATATGCGACGTTGCCACTGAATTCTACCAAACAATCAAAGAATTAATGCTAATTATTCACAAACTCTTGCAAGAATTGGAATAGGAGAGAGTACTTTCCAGCTCATAAGTCCAGCGTTGCTCTAACACCAACCACTCAAAGGCATCACAGGAAAACAAAACACCAATATATCTTAAAATATAGATATGGGCCGGCGCCGCGGCTCACTAGGCTAATCCTCCGCCTTGCAGCGCTGTCACACTGGGTTCTAGTCCCAGTTGGGGCGCCGGATTCTGTCCTGGTTGCCCCTGTCCCAGGCCAGCTCTCTGCTGTGGCCAGGGAAGGCAGTGGAGGATGGCCCAAGTACTTGGGCCCTGCACCCCATGGGAGACCAGGATAAGTATCTGGCTCCTGCCATCGGATCAGCGTGGTGTGCTGGCTGCAGCGCGTTGGCCGTGGCGGCCATTGGAGGGTGAACCAACGGCAAAGGAAGACCTTTCTCTCTGTCTCTCTCTCACTATCCACTCTGCCTGTCAAAAAAAATTTTAAAAAATGAAAATACTCAACAAAATACTAGAAAATGGAATTCAGCATAGAGAAAGAATTATACATCATCACAAGGAGGGATTTATCCCAGGGGTACAAGACTGGTTTAACATACGAAGATTAATAAATCATACAGTAGAATAAAAATTAAAATCATGTGATCATCTATAGATACAGAAACAGCATTTGAATATATCCAACACCTTTTCCTAATAAAAATAGTGGGTGAACTAGGAATCCAAGGGAACTTCCTTAGCCTGATAAACTGTACGAGAGACCCAAAGCTGACTGTTCTTCCTGGTGAGAGACCAGGTGCTTTCCTGCCAAGACCACGAACAAGATAAAGAAGCCTGTCCCCACTTCTATTGCGAACGTTGTACTGGGCTTGCTCGC